AAATAAATCAATTAGCCCACAGGGTTGTCATTGTAACAAACAGGAGTCATAATTACTTGTAAACAAGCTAATTACAAGAGAAAGTTTGGAGAAACATAAGACAATAACCGGTATCGTGCAAGGCATTATGGGTATCGTTTCACTTAAGGACACTGGCGTCATTAGCTTGGCGATGGGGTGTGGCAGGTGCATACTTTTGATATAGTGGTGTTGACTTATCACAAACACGAAAAAATGAATGAATCATTCTATCATTCTGGTGTAGCTAATTATCTATCATACACTTTTTTTTAAAACACCCATTCGATATATTAAGCTTTTATGTTAACTTATGTTTAGGTTTAAATTTGTTATAGCTTTAGGTTCAGAGTTTCTTCCATGCATCTCTTCGGGGGGGGGCTTCCGTCTATTGCTCCCCCCCCCTCGGACGAAGTGAAATTTATATAGAAAATATATACTTTTAACAGTTCCCCCCCCCCCCCCCCCGAAGAAAGTCTACCTCCCCCCCCCCCCCCCCCGAAAATTTCAAGTGACCCCTGGAGAAAAAAGTCTGGAAGAAAGGTTTGGGCCAAGTTAGTGTTCATGTTTGAGTTTTGGTTTGGGTTTAAATAAAAGTCATAATTTAGATGTAAGTTACTTTTAAGTTAAAATAAGACAATGGTGGATTTTACGATAAAATTCAGATTGAAGTTGAATATTTCTGGGTCTTTTGTTGGCTATGATAACAAACTAAAGACCCCAATCTTAGTTTCTTAAGATATAAAATAAAAACATAATTTCTTTTTAATCTTCAAGCAATGGATGGGGATTTTTTAAAATTCTAATATATTTTCTCGTAATGCTTTTTAAAGTATTTAATTTATCAGACAACGGTTGATATGTTTAAATTATTTGAATTCCATTTGACTGATTTTGTTTTATTTCCCAAACTTATTTTTTTGATTTAGTTAAATATCTTCTTGGGTTTTTTTAGTATCGCTGGATTATTACATCACTCAGGTACAATGTAAAACTTCCGTTCGGTAAACGAACCCAACTCAAATGCTTACAAACATGACATTGATTTTCTTACTTTATAACGTTTACAACACACATATCTAACACTTACTTCAAAAAATTATTATATTGGAGTAAGCCTATACTTTAAAGCACCCATTTTTATAACTCTAATTTATATTTATTTCTAAAAATTAAAATTATGTTTGTAAATTGACATAAGCTTTTGTGAATTATTTATTAAGCACAAAATTATCTGTGTAAATGAGTACTGTAGGCCTATCCTATAGATCTAGGTCTACTTTGGTATTTATGTTACACAAGAATTAAAAAGTGAGATTACGCTTGCTGTACGTTTCATAACAATTCTTATTAGCATAAACTTTCGATAACTAAACTTATTTGCATAAATGCAAGTATTCCAAATATCTGATTGTAGTATCTTGTTGATTTTGGAGAAACGCCAAAACAAATAATCCCCAAATGAATAATGTGTGTGTATTGACGTGTGGTCTGTTCTTACCGCGGTATTTTCTAATGGAGACATTTATGTTTGTTTTAGCTCGATTAGTTTCATGATTCACATCTGCCTATTGTGTTTGTGTGGGTGTCTGTGTTTTGAGTGAGTGAGAGTGTGTGTATCGGTCGATGTCAAATTGACCTGTGAATGGATCTATCAATATGTGTATGTATATGTGTATCTGTGCGTGCGAGGATCTATGAATGTGAGTGGGTTGGTGTAAGATACAACGCAAGACAACGGTCACCTGAAAAGTTCATACTTTGTAGTTTTTCAATTGTGTTCTTACACTCTACTTTAAGAGACACGAACATAACCGGCTCATGGCTGTCTCACATTAAACAGGCCTCAACACGGCGAACTCAGGTCAACTGGTTTTAGTAGGATTAAATCTCCCATTAGATATCGATGTATCTACTCCATACCTCCCTGTTTGATACAGAGGCGTAGCGATGGGGGGGGGGGGGGCAGGGGGGTACATATGTCCCCGGGCGCCGACCTTAGGGGGCGCCAAAATGGGTTGGAAAAACAAATTAAAATGTCAATTTAGCTGCACTTTTGCATTAAAGTTTGAGTGGGGGGTGGGGGTGCAAATCAAAAGTTTGGAGGGGGGGGGGGTGCAAATCGAAAGTTTGAGGGGGGGTGCAAATTGAAAATTTGCTCCCGAGGGGGGCGCCAAATTGAAAGTTTCTCCCCGGGCGCCGGGAAGGGTTGCTACGCCTCTGGTTTGATATGAAGGTTTAGTTGGACCCCACAGTGTTATATTTTTAAACAAATATGCCCTAGCCTACATACAGTTTTTCATTTTAAGTTAGTGATCTAACTACTGAACTCAAATTAACAAATTACATTAACATTGAATTTTTTTATTTTTTTATTTTTTTTTTTGGGAGAGGAGGGGTGTGGGGTTTTATGAGATATCTATGCAACAATAATATTTTTAATTTGTATCTTTTTGCCTGATTAGACAATGGATCGCGTCCAGAGATTATGATATATTTTTTTCTTGTGGTGCAATGTCTAATGTGGCTTTTGATGTCAATTTTAGACTGGCAATCTCTACCAGTTATTGCAGATCATTGTTGCTGTTACCATTTGGGCAGATTCTTTCCTTCTTCTCCTCCTAGATATTACCTCAGCCAACCAGCGATGCGGTTGCCAGTCCACAAGTCCTGTCTCCCCAAAGTTCTGTCTTGGACTAGTTCCTCCCACATCAAGCAGCACCAGAGTTTCATCTAGGGGGCGCGGACCTTGGCGTCTAATAAGGAGATCGTAGTTAACCCATGCGTTATAATCCCTCTCTCAATTAACCCATGCGTCATAATCCCTCTCGACCTTGACTGTATATTTTTTTTTATTTACCTTAAAACTAATACATAATAGGCCTAATTGCACTGAAAATTTTAAATAATTCAAATAGTTTAAACCCTTGCGTAACATATTTAATATTTCTAATGAATTCAATACCTTATGAACTAAAAATGTATCGATTGACTGAAGTTTTGAGGGTGCTTGTCCTAAATCAAACGTGCCCGAATTCTTAAATGTAACAAAATGGATTAAACGAGAGTACTGAGCTCTTTAAAGTATTAGCTCTTACAATTATACACTGCTGCGTTGAAGGGAGGTTTCATAAGCTTGAAAAGACGTCATGGATTAAAGCTAGTGTTGAAGTGGGGGTAAGGATTAGATTAGCGTGTCACGTGGATCTCGATAGCTTAGATCAGCGAAGCTGGTGTTCGATCCGTTGTTGGTTGTTTGTGTGGAAAATATGAGTAGGTCGGTTAATGCACGCGCTCGTGTGTGAGTGAGTTGTTTGTGTGTGTGTGGATGTTTGAAGTGTGTATGAGTGTAGATAGTTGTGAGATGTTTTAGAGTGTGTGTTATTGTTAGGGAGTAGGTTTATTGGGATTAGCGTATGTATGGTGTTGTATGTGTGTATGAGAGTTTGGGTTAGTGTACTTATTGTTTGTGTGTAGAGGTATGTGAACGTTTGTATGTGTGTGTATGTGTGAGTGAGTGTGTCTGTATGTTTGTGTGTCTGTATATGTCTATGTCTGTGTATATGTCTATGAGTGTTTGTGTTGATTGCTGTGTTCATGTTTATGTGTCTACGTGTATGTGTGCATGTGTATGTGTGTACGTGTATGTGCCTGTCGTTGTATCTGTGTTTGTATCTCTGTATGTGTCTCTGTGTTTTCTTTCTGTGTGCGTGTCTGTTTGTGTCTATGTGTGTACAAGCCTGTGTGTATGTCTATGTATGTGTGTGTCTGTACGTTAGCTTGTCTGAGTGTGTACCCATGTGTGTATATGTCTGTTTGTGTACATGTCTGTGTGTATGTCTATGTATGTGTGTGTCTGTATGTTAGTTTGTCTGTGTGTGTACGTGTGTACATGTCTGTGTGTTATTCTATGTATGTGTGTGTCTGTATGTTAGCTTGTCTGTGTGTGTGTCGGTGTGTACATGTCTATGTGTGTATATGTCTATGTGTGTACATGTCTATGTGTGTACATGTCTATGTGTGTACATGTCTATGTGTGTACATGTCTATGTGTGTACATGTCTATGTGTGTACATGTCTAAGTGTGTACATGTCTATGTGTCTACATGCCTGTGTGTATGTCTATGTATGTGTGTGTCTGTATGTTAGCTTGTCTGTGTTTGTGTCGATGTGTACATGTCTATGTGTGTATATGTCTATGTGTGTACATGTCTATGTGTGTACATGTCTATGTGTGTACATGTCTCTATGTGTGTACACATCTATGTGTATACATGTCTATATGTGTACATGTCTCTATGTGTGTACATGTCTATGTGTGTACATGTCTACGTGTGTGCATGTCTATGTGTGTACATGTCTATGTGTGTACATGTCTATGTGTGTGCATGTCTATGTGTGTACATGTCTATGTGTGTATATGTCTATGTGTGTACATGTCTATGTGTGTACATGTCTATGTGTGTACATGTCTATGTATTTACAAGTCTATGTGTGTACATGTCTATGTGTGTACAAGTCTATGTGTGTACATGTCTATGTGTGTACATGTCTATGTGTGTACATGTCTATGTGTGTACATGTCTATGTGTGTACACATCTATGTATGTACATATCTCTATGTGTTTACATGTCTATGTATGTACATGTCTATGTGTGTACAAGTCTATGTGTGTACATGTCTATGTGTGTACAAGTCTATGTGTGTACATGTCTATGTGTGTACATGTCTATGTGTGTTCATGTCTACGTGTGTACATGTCTACGTGTATACATGTCTATGTGTGTACAAGTATATATGTGTACATGCCTATATGTGTACATGTCTATGTGTGTACACATCTATGTATGTACTTATCTCTATGTGTAAGCTCGAGCAAGTCTCCTATGTGAGTTCGACCACCACCAGGTGAGAGTATTAAAAAAGAAAGCGCGTGCGCGTGTGTCTCCCGCCGGACGGTACTCAACCCATCAGTTACTGTATCAGCCACTCGGGTCACGTACAAAAACCTGACCTCCGCTCACACACAGCTCACCTCACGTCGGCTTATGACCGCCAGGGATTCTTAACATTGTTTTATATCAGGTGTTTGAACACAATTTCTTTATTGTCAACGTGGTTTTTATAAAACATAAGTAAGTATTGCTTAGATGTAATGTGTTTAAGTAAAATTAACTTAGTTTCGAAAATTTAACAAGTACAGTTGTATCGCATTGTTGATACAGTTTGATACTTTATTGATACACTTCATACATTGATGATAAAGTATGATACAATAATGATACACTTGATATTTTAATCATTCTACTAGATACAGTTTCATACATTAATGATACAGCTTGATAGAGCGTGATACATTAATTATACAACAGCTTGCCAGATTAATATCCACTTATTACAGCTTCTTTTAGTTTTAAGTTCGAAAATCGACCTTTTAAAATTAGGTTTTGTTTTCCCAAATTTAGTTTTAGATGCCTCTTTATTAAGTTTTGTAATTATCACATAACAACAAGAACTTGTTAAAAAATGTGCTTACTTTTTTTTAAATGTTCCCTCTAGTTTAGAAATTAAATTTTATTTTCTGTTCTAAAGATCTAGTTTTACTAGTTAATAATACAGAAGACAATACAATGGCAAATATTTATAGATTTTGTTTGTAGCTTGTACTAAAAAAACATTTTAAAGTAATAGGTCGTGCTTTGCTAGAAAAGTATTTCGTTTTTCAGATGAATGAGAGGCTTTGTTAAGGGTTAAACCATGTCTTCAGTACTTGTCTAACAAAGGTTTCTTTTAGACATCTCTCCGTATAAACAGTTCACCGCTTCCCAGACGAAATAGAAAAAAAAAGAATTGTGTTTATACAGAAAATATATACTTTAATGAGAGTCATATCGGGAGGTTCAAGTGCCTCCCCCTAGAGAAAATATCTGACATAAACCTCGCTCTATGCCTTGAATGGCCCTTCAAACATAAACATAACTCAAACCCCAGATCTGAGTGGCCATCAATAGATTACACGACAGACAGACAGATGGGAGCTTTTATTATTAGCCCTTACATCATTCACAGGACGGGCCAATCATTATTGGTCGGCCTGTCGTATATACTGGTTATACAATAATGCTTCGCTGTTACTCCGAGCAAACAAAACAGATCATCTATTTCATATTGCCTACCTTTTTACAGTTTTTAAAGTCAAAAACAATTGTTATTGTCATCAGTTATATACAGAGGCGTAGCGAGGCGGGGGGTGACACCATTTAGGGGGGTGAAACCAAGGCAAAAACAGCAAAATATATAGAGAAAAATGATAATTCCACTTAATAAAGTGATTAATTCGAGTGTTAAATAGTGTTTTAAGAGGTGCAAATTGAAAGTTTGAGGGGGGGGGGGGAGGGGGGTTCAAATCGAAAATTGAAAGTTTGTTCCCGGGAACGGTCGCTACGCCTCTGGGGGTTGGCACCATTAAGTGCCGCACCGGGTGACACCCGACCTCGCTACGCCACTGGTTATATATATATATATATATATATATATATATATATATATGTGTGTGTGTGTGTGTGTGCGTGCGTGCGTGTATTGAGAAAGTGGGTAATTCGTACCCCTTTAGGAAAAACAGCCATAAAAACTATTTACGTGAAGTGTGAGGCCCTACCAATGAGTATCGGTTCAACCAGACACTAATTAAATGCTGGGTGTCTTTACTTATAAAACTGAAAAAGATGACCAACATTTGCCAACAAATATTTAAGTTTAACGATAGTTATTTGGTCGTTTTTTTTTTGTTTCCGCCAACTGAAACTATATCAGATGATTTTTTTTTAATGTGACCACAAAAGTTGTCTCTTTAGGACTGGTGAGCTTTTTAAGAACTACAATCCTAGAAGTCCGATTTATGGAAGCAAATATGCAAAAAAATTAATGATGATATAGAAATATGTGTGCATGGAGAAAATTGGATGGGAGATAGTAAACAAAATAAAGTCGTAAAATAATATACACTTAAAAGTCATGATGATAACTGTTGGTAAGATAAGATCTAACAAGTCGGGTTATTAGTACCACGGGTACTTTTTACCCGCCGTTTCATTGTACGACATTGATTACAAACTCACTTCTGCTTCACGTTTGTCATTGCGAAGTTTACTAAACAGAACGTATTTATTAATGAAGTAGGCTGATTTTTTCAGCACTTTAGAACATTTCAAAACCAGTGTTTCTTCCAGACTTTTTTTCCGGGGGACGCACTTGAAATTTTCGGGGGGGGGGGGGGGGGGGTACTGTTAAAAGTAATAAAGTATATATTTTCTATATAAATTCCATTTTGTTCGGGGGGGGGGGGGGGAGACTTTATTGGGGGGGGGGGAGGGGTCGGAGCCTAAAGAAACTGTTCAAACCAGGTCCGCGTATCCTACTCAACATAGCACAATTAGAAAACAAAATCCAAACTGGGTTGTTGTTGTTTTTATCATTGGTGGCAGCTCCATCAACTGGGTGTACGCTAACATCATCTGTATTCAAAACAGCCGCTTCTTGTAAGGACCAAAATTATTAAATTAAAACCGAAATGTGTAAAAAAATTAAGTTTAGACAAAACTCGTTTAAAAATATTAGTCTGCTTAAATTATTGACAAATTGAATAAAGAAAATAAATCTGCAAGGCTATTGAGGACCATAGTTACATAAAAACCCAGTATTACATACTGTCTAAATTTTGTTCTTTATAATATGGCAGGGTTACTCCCATACTATTACTATGTCGCACACGTCAGTACTGGTTTATGGACTAGGTTACTCTAGGTCATTTAATTAAACTGATCCAAATTAACAATTAATTAGACGTTTTGACGACTCTGATTACTTAGATTCTTTTTTTACAGCATGCATAATGTAATTTTATTGTTTTCGTAACACGCTGGAAAACTGGGGGTGTGTATCGATACTATAAATCGGTATCGCTAATGAAAATAATGTATCTCTCCGATTTCATGGGATGCTCGCTCAACATGTTTACCCCGTTTTAATAATAATTGTAGCGATTTGATAATTAATTCATATTTTTAGCGACAAAAGCATTTATTAAAGATATAAAATTAGTTTTATTTTCTTATTTTCAGTGCATTAAAAAACTTTTTGCTATAAAGGTTTTTCATTTTTGTTTTTTATATATTTTTTTCGAACTTTTCTGGGGCTTTTTAATCAGCTGTTTACTAGAAACTGTCATGGAGCAACTGATATGTGATTTGAGTTTGAAATACGGGAATAATAATGACAGTATATAGACTGTTGTTCTGTTGTTGACTTGAAGCTGAAACTGTCAATTAAACTAAATAAATACTGGAAGCATTAACTCCGAAGAACAATATGCTGATGTTTTATTAAAATAAAAGAAAATGTAATTGATCAACATCTAAATTATTTGTAAATGTTTTTTATTTGGTAAAACGGTAATGAAACGTTCCTTTAATTAACTCTAATTTCTAGAAACCGTAATATCTATCAGTTTAATCAAACTTCCGAAACACGCTCACAAGTAACCAAAACTTCGTAATACAAACCTAACATGACCAGTTTTTTTATGTTTATTAATCTATGATGACATTGCAAAGGCGTAGTGACACTCCGTCGCCAAGGGCGGAGTTTCAAATTTGCGCCACATGGGCGAAAAAGCGCCCCCCCCCCCCCATTTTACTATTCAATATCCCTTGACAATTTTTATTAAGAACATTATGTCACAAAATTGAAAACAGTTAAGTTAGTCAGGAGAGCAAAGCAGTAGTCTGTGTATTATTCAGTAATGCTGCTCAGAATGAGCTTTTTAATAATTTTTTACCCTGGTTGGCGCCCCCTTAGGATGGGCGCCAGAGACGGCCACCCCACCCGCCCTCCTGTGTGCCATAGTAAGTAATAAGGTTTGAAGATCTGTTATGTTATTATAAGTTCAACTGTGTCATCGGTAACAAATATCGATTGACTGAGATGATAATTAGAAAAATTGTGAAATAACTACTGCTAAATACCAGAAGAATGTGCATTCAATTATTTACCACGAAAGATTAACAAATGTTCAACAAGTAAGTTGTGTCGATGTGATAGATTTTTTTTTTGCTGATGTTTAGAAATGTGCGTGTATATATATTTTATGCGACGTTAGTTAATTTTCATAATGTCTGACTTTATTTTTATTTTTTTGTGGAATGTATTTTTTTAACATTAAAAAAAATATATAAACGTTTTTTATCTAGGTATATCTAAACTATGTTTAAAAAATCAATAATCTCCTGCGTGTTTAAATTTTACACGATTAGCGTTGCTTCAGGCTGGTTTAAAATTAACGTTAAGAAAAATAAACAACTTCGCCTTTACAGTCTAGGGCGTTTAAATGATTAGCCGATTGTAAAGAAAATCCTAAAGTAAATACCGCTCAAGCGTAGCGTATTAAGTCTGAATCAATACAACTGTTTCGTGTTGCAGTGATTTATATGTGGTCAAATTAGCGTCGGCCAACCTCACATACATGGGGGAGGAGATTCAATTCTGTAGGAGGGCGCAGTCTCATATGTAGGCTAATGTTCAATTATTCGGATGTCTAGTAAAGTACGAAACTTTTGCTAATCCACAAGTGGGTGGGTGACAGAGGCGTCGCGACTCCTCCCGGCGCACGGGGCGAACTTTCAATTTGGCGCCTCATTATATATATATATATATATATATATATATATATATATATATATATATATATATATATGTGTGTGTGTTTGTGTGTTTGTTATTGTGTGTGTGCGACAGTCCGGAAAAATGAAATAATTACGATTTTCGTTCCCTAACACTTTACATGTCGCCAATTAAACTCGATAAGAAGCATTATTCCTTCTTGTTCTTTAAAAAAAAAAAGATTTGTAATATTAGAGAGAAGTTTAGGCCAGTCTTTTTATATTCTATCTTTGGGGAAGTCTCTATTATGATAGTTGGATTAGAAGTTTGTTAGAAAAGGGTCACGCAAGTAACATACAAAAGCAAATAATAAAAAAAAATGTGGAATCCAAATGCGTTGTCAAAAAATTCAAACAGGATCTATAGCTAAATGTGAAGCCTCTTTTACTGTATGGCTTGGAGCTGGGTTACAGACAGTGGATAATGAAATAAGAGCAACGGTGGTTGTAAGGGCACAATATCAAAAAGACAGTAAATAACATCACTAAGCAGGTGCTGATGTAAAGTCCACGGGGAAAAATGGAGAGAAGGAGACCAAAAACATCAGGAAGGAAATAGATAGAACTAGAGGTGTTGGAGGCTGGATTATAAGCGTTCGATCATCATAAATAAATTAAGTGAGTTGACGAAGTGTTGCCTATTCCTATGCTCCGAAGGAAGCTAAAACGAATGAAAAGAAGAAAATCAAAAGAGTTTAGAGAAGTGGTTCTTAACCTGGGTTCGATCGAACCCAAGAGGTTACGTAGGTCAGTCTAAGGGCATCGGCGTAGCACCCGACTCATATGATTCACAATCGAATTTTTTTCAGTGTTGACGATAAAACTATTAAGAATGGTTTAGTGAATGTGCTTATAAAACTGGTGGGGTTCGGTATCTCCAAAAAGGTTAAGAACCACTGATTTAGAGTGTAGTTTGTAGAAGGTGCAAGCTTATTTGGTCTTCTTTTGGTCGTGTCATTGGAACAATTAAGTTAATATTATATTACAGTTTTAAATCATCAGTTAGATTGAACAAAGTAACAAAGCAGTAGCAGTGTCGTGTTGTATCGTTCTTACCTCGTTTTATGAAACAAGCAATAAAATAACTGATCTTTTCGGTACAACATATTAATTGTTTTAGCTCTTTAAATTTCGGCAAAGAGTATCGCCATCCACCCACCCGCTCCGACCGTATGCTAATTTACTTATCGGATAATGATACAATAATCAGTGATATCTATTTCTCTTTAATACAGTGATTCATGCAAGATATAATGCAATCTAGTAAACGTATCTGATTTCTCACGTTGAGAATCGTACAACGAACTAGTCGTGTCATTTCTTAACAAAACTGGCTAGTTAAATCGTAAGCTGCGCGTTAATAAAATTGGTTAAGTGTTAAACAACTTATCTACTACTTTCTGTGTATATCCTTCCCAGTTGCCATGGCAAAAAAATATTACTATTACGCATTACGCTTTAATACAATTGGTTTCATTTCTAAGTGTTAAAAGAGTAAACTACTCACCTATCCATCCACCTATAAAAAAAACTATCATAGATCATGTTTTTTTTAAAAATTAAATTAAGAAAAAAAATCTGATCAATTTACAGTACTACAAAACCAGCTTGTATTAAGTGGTCATTGAAATACATAACCAGCTTGTATTAAGTGGTCATTATACTACATAACCAGCTTGTATTAAGTGGTCATTGAAATACATAACCAGCTTGTATTAAGTGGTCATTGTACTACATAACCAGCTTGTATTAAGTGGTCATTGTACTACATAACCAGCTTGTATTATGTGGTCATTGAAATAACAACCAGCTTGTATTATGTGTTCATTGTACTACATAACCAGCTTGTATTATGTGTTCATTGAAATAATAACCAGCTAGTAGTTTGTGGTCAGTGTAATACATAACCAAATAGTAGGCTGTGGTTATTGAAATACTTTTAACGAGCTAGCAGTGTGTGGTCATTGAAATATATAACGAGCTAGAAGTTTGTGGTCAGTGTAATACATAACCAGCTAGTATTGTGTGGTATTTGTGACCAACCCACATCTTATATAAATTAAATTGGTGACTAATACACATTGACTTTGTAAAAAAAAAAAAAATTATCCAAACAACCGACGTTTGCTTAACGTACAGATGCCCTTGTTTATTTTTCAAAAAAAAAAAACAAATAATGGAAAAGTTAGACGTAAAGTATGTGAAATATCTGAGGTTAGATAGGGCTAGTGACGTCATCAGGCGTGTAACATCTGGTCCAGGTGTTGTGATAAATCAAGGGGTAATGTGGATCAGTGTGGTTTACATGGTGGGTTTTACAGGCGGTAAGATAGGGGCAGTGTGGGCTTTACAGGCGATATGAGTAGGTTGGGGACAGTGGGCATTATAGGTGGTAGGAGTAGGCTGGGGACAGTGGGCTTTACAGGCGATATGAGTAGGTTGGGGACAGTGGGCATTATAGGTGGTAGGAGTAGGTTGGGCAGTGGGCTTTACATACCTACACGGTGTAGGTTTTCCACTCAGAGGTATTAAATAGGACATAGTGGGCTTCTCGATAAAAACTATTTAACATAGAGCCGTATAGCTTTTACACAAAATTGGACATCTTATTGCAACTACGCTTTATGAGAAGTGGGATTAAAATCATAAAGTGGTATTTTCTAGAGACCATGAAGCAATATTTACTTTGAGATTAGACACATTTGGATTTCGTGTAAAGTGGGTTTGTACAGATCAGGATATTTGCGTTGCATAAAGTGGGGGATTAACCCTCACACAGCACACAATGCTTCTTATCCTAACCCTAATCTTGTTTTTGTGCATATTTGCTCAATAGAATTAAAATTTCAATTTCACCATGATAAGAAAGTGAAACAATATCAGCAAAGATCGATTAAATTTGACGTAAATTGCCCTCGTTGATACAAATCAATACTGACATCGTGTCTAATAAATGTTGAAGTTGATATCCAGTTAACTGAACAGCTGCAAAAAACTTGGCAATAATAATTTTTTAGACTTATTTTGAATCATTGATAGCTAATACTTGATGCGTTGGAATCCGAATAAAATGTGTAAACTTTATAATATGTTTTAAACGGAGAACCTATATTTGGATGGCGGATTAAAAACTGTTAATCGAATACAGGATTATATTGATTTTTTATCTCAGGTTTGTTTTGGGGGCAGTTTGACTCGATACCTGGGGTCAAAGGTCAGCCAACCAAAGGCCGTCATTTTGTTTTCAACGTATGATGGGATTATACACGTCTAGGTAGTTCACAAGTTTTTACCAGGGTTCGGGTACCAGGGTTCACTGTGTTACGACAGTACTAAACCAGGGTTCACTCTATTAAGATAGTACCGGGTCAAAGTTCACTTTGTTACGATAGTACCGGGCCAGGGTTCACTTTGTTATGATAGTAACAGACCAGGGTTCACTGTTACGATAGTACCGGGCCAGGGTTCACTTTGTTACGATAGTATTAGGGTTCACTCTCTTATCGTAGTACCAGTGTTAACTTTATTACGGTAGTACCAGGGTTCGAGTAGCGAATTTGAGCTAGGGTTTACTCTGTTCGAGGGTCCGCCACGGATGTCAATAAGTAATACAATTTATACCAACCCCCACCAGGATGAGATCCAACACTAACACTTTCGACTCTTAACAAGTCATTAACAGTAAAGTCTTCATTGGATTAAACACTACCCTACACAAAATAAGCTACAGCGTACCAATGGGCAGGTTACGGATCTAACCTAACCTTATGTAGCCAATCAACCAAATGTGTTACAAAACACTAGTTGCCATTTTGCTGGTGTAATACGTTGTCGTAAATAAATAAACCTTTACAAACTTCTAAGACAACTTTCTCCCTATGTGTCTGACAACCCTAACATCAATCAATCCACAGTTACAATTTATGAAATGACTTTATAAATACGTTTTCAGATTAGTTACTCTTTTAAATAACCAATAGTTTATATTATGTAAGGATTAAGGGGATGAAAATGTATCAAATGTATAAAACTGTATGCGGTAGAGGTGAATTGCAACATTTTTTATGTAAGGTGTACGCGATGGCCAACTTGAAATATTCGTCTAAGTATAGATGGATTATTTGAAATATTTTTCTCTCTCTAGATCTCTAATTTTAAATGTGTCCATCTTATATATATATATATATATATATATATATATATATATATATATATATATATATATATATATATATATAACCTATAATTTATAATGTGTATATCTTTCTACAAAACCCTAGTTTGAATAATGTTTTTCTTTCTATAAATCCCTATATTGAAATATTTCTCCTTTGTTGTTGATAAATTCCAACTAACAATTTATCTCCATCAATTTCTGTTCCAGGGAAAGACAATTTAACAAAGTGCAACGGGAAAGAAGTTGACAAAATGAATTTTTACTTTCTGGCTTTTTGTGCCAGTGTCGTTTGGATTTTTTCATACCATGGTAGGCTAACAATTTAATTTTTATCATTGTAGGCCAAACATAATTTTATGGTTGACCAAACTTCTACAGTAGGCCAAATTTATTTTTTCTCCACCCGGTATAATCTTTTGAATTATCATTTTTTTTTTGTTAAATGACGTCATGGTTATTTGTACCGCTTGTTACCAATCCTTTCCTGCCGCCACAGAATGCTAAATTAAAATAATATTACACTTACGAGAATACCCCTTCTCACATTGCAAGCTTTGTTATTGGACATGTGATTTTTGTGCGTGAAAAGAGCTGGGTGAATATAGAGTAGCCTTTGTTGATCTACTTATGTTCAGTTATATACATTATATATATATATATATATATATATATATATATATATATATATATATATATATATATATATATATATATATATACTTGCATTCAAAAATCAAAATATTTTAACTTATATTCAATAAAGAAATTCGCCAGTTCATTGTTTGGTATAATATAAGTTTTAACTGATCATATAAAGAAGATTGTACGTTCTTAGGTTGCTGTAAGGTACAACAAGTCACAATAAAAGCTCTTTTGACATTTCTGAGGCAATGAATAAGTTTTTAATACTTTCATTTTTCTTTTGCGACCAAATTAATAAACTCTACTCTCCCACATCCTAAACTCTTCCTCCAACTTCGTAAACTCTATTCACTTCCTCAACTCCAACCTACCCTCCTAGAAACAACACACCCACATTCTAAACTCTTCAACTCTTCTTGAAGTCGAGGCCCAGACATCAACGGAATTTGTCTACGACTGCCGAAGACCAGGCAGCAACTGTGGCGATGGCAACACGTGCAACTTGTCGTCTGGAAACTGCATCTGTCCAAACACCACTGCTGTGAATTACGAATGTAAAGATTTAACAGGTAAATGGCTTTACAACGAGTTGATGTAATTCTGAACTCTGTGTTATCTTGCAAGATTTGTGGTCAACGTAAACTTGTGTCGTGACAAACTGGTTATAGGCTGGTTATGTTGTAACATTTATTAATGTTATAACAACAATTGTTCTTTTTAAGTCGATGAAACACAAATTTAAATGTGTTGAAGGCTTTGCCCTAACACGACTTGAAATTTTCTTTTGTTTTACTCTAGACAAAGCATTACTGTGGACTTGTAGATATGTGACAATAATGGGCACTGTTTCAAAGATAATATCGTGTAAATAATGATTTTCTTTCTTCTAATTCTACTCTAGGATCTGGGAACTGTACACAGACCTGTATCAACGGGGGATGCGTCTCTTCTGCGTGTGTCTGCAAGCAAGGATATTACGGCCAGACCTGTGAAATGCCTAGAGGTAAGGAAAATGTCTGTAGTCTGTTTGGTCATGGGGGGAGGGGGGGGGGGGGGTCCTGCTATCCTAAGTCTCTAGGCTAGATCTCATTTAACAGATGTAAAGCGATCAAGTAAATAATAAATTTAGGCATATGCCGATTTATAAAAGAACCTTGAATGAAATTATTTAATTCCCTGCTCAAATTTTGCACGCACGGTAATTGTAATTGATTAACTTTTATTTTTCATGTTTGTTTTATTAATTATGTTTTTCTATCATGACATGTTTTCATCAGACATGTAATTTACATCATCACTTTGTATTGCCTGCCTAAACGCTTAATTATTAAAGTTTTCATCATCAGCTTACTATTTTGACAACCCGCCCACCCCCCACCCCCCTCAAGGCCATTTAGTTTGTAAAAGTTGTACTTTATTTTTAAAATTTTAGAATGCAAATCAACGAATGTATTGTTTTTTTACAATGTAAAATAAAATTCTAATTGTCTAAATGTCACAACGTAAAATAAATGTAAGGTATGTTTTATTTAAAACTAAAATTAAACGTTTAAAAAAAAACTACCCACAGTCCAAGTTTTCTGCAATGCTGAGGAGATGTTCATCAACATCAACCCACACCCAGGATTCTCTGGTCTCATCACCGTGTTTAACAAAACTGATTGTCAATTGCAGGTAAATGTTGTGTTTTCTTTGTTGATATGATATGGCGCCGTCGAATGGCCTAGCGGTAGAGAGCTGTGCTGCTAACTCGAAAGTCTCTAGTCAGTAGAACGTCCCTGGGCCCATCCAGCTCCGCTGGGTACTCACGTTAGGGAAAGCAAAGTCGGCTGGGCATAGTGCTGAGCATACTATCACACTATCCCTTCATATTTCGAGGTACCTGACACAGGCGAACTCTACTTCATCCCATGTGTCTTGGACTCGAACGGAAAAAAGTAATGATCCAACCAAAACTGAGATTGACATGATAGTGGCGAATAGTAAAGGTCACGATAGTAAAGGTCGCGATAGTAAAGGTCACGATAGTAAAGGTCACGATAGTAAAGGTCACGATAGTAAAGGTCACGATAGTAAAGGTCACGATAGTAAAGGTCACGATAGTAAAGGTCACGATAGTAAAGGTCACGATAGTAAAGGTCACGATAGTAAAGGTCACGATAGTAAAGGTCACGATAGTAAAGGTCACGATAGTAAAGGTCACGATAGTAAAGGTCACGATAGTAAAGGTCACGATAGTAAAGGTCACGATAGTAAAAGTCACGATAGTAAAGGTCACGATAGTAAAGGTCAAAATAGTAATGGTGAATGTACTTGGTGCTCGACGTACTGTTCATTTATATATTATCAGCGCCGTGACTAAGAGGATTTACTTGAGCCAGGTACTTAATAGAGCTGAGTGGACTACGGGAATATCCTGTAGGCCTCAATGTGAACTGAACTCGACGACAACGTCATGAATACTTAAATGCTAGAGAGAAAAGTATTCTTCATTTCCCCTAGCTCCCTTTCTCTCTTTCAGACATACTAACGCGTTCCTACCTTTATCTCAAACTTTCACTCCCAGTTTCTCTCATACATTCTCACCGTTTATCACGTTCTTTCCCACTTTTTTCTTATTCTCACCCACACTTTCTCCCCACTCCCTCTCAAATTACCGACTTTAGTGTCAAGATTTCCCACTAATAAAAGTCTACATCTCATCGAGTAAATTACACATTTTACTGTTTTTCTAAAAGTCTGTTGTTTTTTAGATAAGAACACCAAAATCTATAGCTTTACTGGTGTCTGGTGTAGCTAGATGTGTGATTTTAAATGTGGTGCCAGTCAACGTATCTGAATTACGGCTTTCTTTAGGAGTCATTCATAAAGGACATCGTGCTTTGCTTTTACAGCCAGTTGATAGCATCTCCTATCATTAGGGTTAATCACAAAAAGCCAGATCCATCTTAAAACGATATCCCTCCCCGTTCACAGCAAAAAAATGTACCATAATTGTTGAGTGTTTTTTTTTCAATTCAATTTTTCCTTTGATAAAGTACAAAATAATTGCCCCTCCCCCCCCCACCCTTTTTCGAGGTTAGTGATTTCATGTATTATTTATTATTATATAGTTGCAAGATTTTCGTGTGGGGTCTTTTTTAATTATTATCTAGCTTTCCATGTTAAAATGGTATGTACTAAGGCGTATTAACTAATATTGATCCTAACTTTTTCCTTAGAATAATACAGGAAGTATCTCTTTATCATACGTGTCGGAAACTGTGAGTCCTAAACTTCAAGGACTTAGCCTTGTCATCAAAATGACAGATGAAAAATGTGGATATGCTGACAAAATAGATGTACGGTTTGTTTTGTGTTTTCGTTAAGTTTTTGTTTTGTCATTAAACTACAAGCCTAGTGCCATTTAGGCTACGATGTATTTTCATCAGAACGAATTGCGTCATTCTTATATAATAGAGATTTTGTTCTTTGTGTTTAACTATAATAGCGCTCGATTTTTTAAAATGTATTTTGTACTAATAAATCGTATAGAGTCTATGTATGATAAAAAAAAAGTTAATAAAAAGTCTAGTGACAATTTAAGCGCAATTTCCTTATGTTATCCATAACAATTTTTTATTTTTTTCTCACCGAACGAAAGGATATTTTTTGCGCTAAAAAAAGACAACTATATTAACCTATATCAACGGAAATAGTTTTATTTTAACGAGTAGGCCTACACGATGCTATGTTTAAAAAAAAATATCATCCTAGGCCTACACGATGCTCAGTTTTAAAAAGTAGTAATTAGTTTTTTGTGACCGAACGAAAGGATATTTTTGAAAACTCTCTTCGGCAATATTGTCCAAAATTATGACAGGAATCGATTGGTAAACGTTTCAAGTCGCTACGTGGTCTGGTTGCCGAGATATGGGCCAAAAACTGCATTTTTTTAGGTTTTTTGGCTTTTCCGGGAAATCCAACACGGAGTTCCGGGAATTGTTTTGGCCCACAATCATCCTCGGAACTTGCTTAACATATTTGCTTTTGGAACTAGTCCTCGATATTGCTTCGTTGAGGAGGAGATACGGCTTAAAGCTGCGAACACACATCCATCCATTCATTCATTCATCCATCCAGAAATGACGAGTTAATAATCGCAATTGTCCGTATGGAAATTGCGCTAAAAAGTACGTAGCACTGCCTCAGTAGGGAAACGCTGTGATGGTCACCCAATTATGTTTAGTGGTTTCATGGGCTGACCCTGAGAGACAACACAAACACACTTATGTGCATGTAAAACGTGAATCGCATGGGATTAACTTTAAAAATCGCTCAATAGAGCACTACACAAGATTCACAACCAAATTAGAGTTTGGTAATGTTCCCTTGGATGGTAACACTATGGTATGTGTTGAAGTTACATTGTCCATTACGAATAGATTAACGCATTTTCAACTATAAGATATTAAACCTATATAAAAATCGTTTACCTAACTGAAACAGTACTCAAATTATTATGCTGACACGGAGACAGAATAAAGCACTATTTATTGTTTCTGGAAATCTTTCAAAAGTTAATGAAAACTTTCGCATGTAATGTAAAACTTATATTTGGAATTTTGTCTACCGAACTTTAACGGTAATCAAGTTATAGGCTTTTGAGAAACCGGAAATGTAAGAACTACTAATTCCTCTTAATGGAAATCGCTCAAAAGTTTAGAGAAATCTACAAATTTGATGTCATACTTATATATGAAATTTTCTCAACCTAACTGAAACGTTACGCAAGTTATCACACACGCGCATGCACATATGTACAGAATTGCAAAACTAAGTTTTTTTCCGGCTCGAGAGGTTGTAAAGACAAAATTTATCAAAATCTAGATTTAGTTTTTTTGTAAGATTACAATACATTCTTTACATTCCGTATAATCAGGGGCGTAGCGAGGGGGGGGGGGCGGGGGGTGCGGACCGCACCGGGTGACACCATTTAGGGGGGTGACACCAAGGCAAAAAATAGCTAAATATATGGAGAAAAAGTTGAGGGGGGGTACAAATCGAAAGTTTGAGGGGGGGGGGGGGGTGGGTGCAAATCGAAAACTTGAGGGGGGTGCAAATCGAAAATTTGAAAGTTTGTCCCCGGGAAGGGTCGTTACGCCTCTGGGGGGGGGGTGACACCATTAAGTGCCGCACCGGGTGACACCCGACCTCGCTACGCCACTGCGTATAATATAAAGTATATATTTTATTCAATTTTTTGCACGTTTACATTTTCTCTACAATAAAAAAAAAGAATCGTATCTCCCTTTACAATCAAGAACCCGTAACTCTGTTCTCAGGGTGGTTTTTCTCGCAAGTTCTTCATTCAATACAACTCATACTTCAAGTCATCGGTGGATCAAATCATTACAGCCGAGTGTAGACTCCAGAATGGCAGCACAACAGTCTACAGTGGTACTAACATCATCAGTGACATTGACAGGTGGGTTTAGAATAGGTCTATCTGACGGCCAATAGTGAGTGACTTAAGAGTCAATAGTGATGAAGTTGAGTAGTGTAGTTCGTTCAATGCCTTGACGCCTTTAACATAGTTAAAGTTAATGGTAATTATTACTATATTAGAGCAATAGATGAGAGTTAGAGCCATGATGATAACCGTGGGTCACCATTAGGGTTCAGTTTGGCCTTGGTAACATTTTACGAAATTCGAGAAGTTTTAATGATATAAATAGTTGTTTGGGTAAAGTAAGCATTTTCGACCAACGACGCAGTTGTACATGTAACCAGCACTGTTTCTTTCAGACAGTCTGCTCAGGAGGCGAGGGGATTTAGTAAATTTCGCGGTGTTATGGGTGGCATTGTTAATTTGTTTCAAATGAATATCTTACAAGTTCCTGATCAAGTAACCAAGTAACATTCATGTGTGTGCTTTGTCCACAGCCCGTACAATCAAGTCAACGTCAGCACTGAGGTAGAGATTGTCAGCCTTGGAGTGAAGAACAACGACAAAGGAATTGACTCCAACACCCCTATTAAAATTGGTGAATCCATTGATCTAGTTTTTGCCTTGAAAACAGGTGTTGGTAAGTTTTAGTGCTAAACAGTTGTATGAAAACTATTTACTGCATGTTTTGTATGATAGGCTGTATACTGCATACCCCAAAATATATTTATATAAATGTCATTCATGTGTGTGTAGGCCTATATATATATATATATATATATATATATATATATATATATATATATATATGTGTGTGTATATATATATATATATATATATATATATAAATGCTTATAGGCCTATATATATATATATATATATATATATATATATATAGCTTATATATTTATGTGTATACATGTGTCTATTGTAACGGACACCAATCTATCAGCCAGATAGATGGCGAACGCTCCCGGATTCGTTTAACTGATTACACACAGATGGCGACAAGCCTAAATAAAAGAAAATTGACTCACTAGTTCGCTAGGACTCGTAATTGATGTCTAGGGGAAACACTAGAGAAACTAATGATGCCAACAAAACCTTTAATCTGCATATAACTTGTAATGAGTGTACAAAGTCGTGGCAGAACACTAGATTTAAACAAGAATAAAATGGATATACAGAATGATCAAAACCCAACTTACAATTCGTGGGAATAAATAGTATGATACACTATCACAGCTTTAACACTTTAGAAAAATCACCACTGTATACATAACACTGCTATAAGCATAAAGAATTACTTAATCACAAGTAATATAACAACTTAATACTGCACAGCAACACACAGGGCTTATCAACTCTCGACGACGTCTGACCAAAGACTGCCTCGAGACACATGTGGGCGATCTATTTATAGACTTAGGTAACATGGAAGGTCACCTTCAAATCATAAGACCATTGGTTGGGGTGGTCATCTGGTCTGAAACAATCAATCATCTCTCGATGGAAAATTTCTGAGTCTAAGACTCTCTTAGTAAGACAGCGGAAAAAAAACCGGTTATTGCACCACAGACCATATATGGTATTATAACAAATGTCAAACTAAAAATAAAACATTACTAGACCTAAGTAGGTCACACTATATGTAGGCTATGTACTATGCATCATTATGTAACTTGTATGTTTTGTCATTCTGTCCATTTTTATATAATGTTTGTAGTTTTCTAATGCTTTTTTTTATATTCTGTATTTAAATTTGTGAGGTTAACATTTTCTGGCAGTTTGCAAACTTTCCCAAAATACTCTGTTTCTTCTTCGTCTGCAGACACTTTTTAATTTTAGAATTTATCAATTGCTTCAACACCCACCCCGTCTCCCTTCCCTCCCACAAGCCAATTAAAACTGGGTAGGAGACTGAAGTTTAAAGACACTCATCACAAGGAATCTCATTCACTAACAGAAATAATTCAACTCTCCCCTAGGTTATACAGACATCCGTGTGGACAACTGTAAAGCGAACAACCATTGGGATAAAGCAGATAACTATAAGGAAACTGAGATTTTAAAAGACGGGTATGTTGACTTTTTTCTTTAAGCATATATCAGTGTGTGGTACATCTTATAGCTGGTGTTTTGTAAAATGGTGTAGCAGTGTCAATGGTGGGGGAGAGGGCTTGGACCGCATTGAGTGACATCCACAGTAAAATATAGGTCGTTTTAATAAGAAAGCAGCTTTTTTCTTTTTAATTAAGTATCTTATTACTTATAATTGGGTACATGAAAAAACCGACTTGGAAAGGGTTGACACCATATCATAAACATAGATCCTTTCATGCATCTCTCCTCCCAGAAGAACGTCCACTGCTTCCAAATGAAATAGTATTTATATTTAATATATATTTCAACCAGTGACTGCCTCCACCCACCCCCCATCACCACTCCTCTGATGTGTAACCTAGTGACACCACTGACACAATGTCATTGTCAAAATAAAAAAATCCTAATTTCCCAACTTTACAAGCAAATAATTTCAGTATCCAAACAAAATTTGTATATATAGCTTAAGAATTACAAAATCTATTAGACTTCAAGAGTCTATGTGTAATTCATCTTACGGATTACTTTCACTGTATGAATTGTTAATGAGGTCATTTTGTGTAATGTTCCTTAATACTGTGCATAAATGCCACAGTTTCGTGGCTCCCTTTTTTATTTTTGCTTATGTCTGAGTGGCACGTATTATAATTTTGGATAGTGTGCGTGTTTATATAATAGCCAACGTGATCAGCAACAATTCTGCAAAGAGTAAACCAACCAAAGTTAACAACTCATCATTTATTTTTCAAAACAGAATAAGTAGCATGTTTGTTTGTTAAAATATTTTTTCGTGAATTTTTATTGAAACCTGCACTCCATAAAATCTGATACTTCTTAGATAAAATACATCTTTTTTTTTATTTAATTAAAATAAAACCATAAGCACACAATTTTAACAATGAAATACAACATTGTAATATTTGAGTTATATTAAATTAATTTATGAACTGTAAAGTTTGAGCTGAATGACTCAATTTAAGCCTTATTTTGATTTGTTACTGTATCTTTATATATAATGCTTGTTTATAATAACTTAACACAAAAAATTCACAAAATATAGACTAATTATCTCCTAAAAAACCAAAATGTTATCTAATTCTATTTATCTTTACTGACAACAGGTGTCCTGCACCAGCTGCTGTTGGGCTGTTCACTGGAATAAACATTAACATGTCCTCACCAATGACAGTCACCATCAGCATGAAAGCCTTCATGTTTATTGGTCCTTCAAAGCAAGTCAATTTTGTTTGCAACTTGACTTTGTGTAATTCCAATTCCAATTGTCAACATGTAAGTAAAGAGTGTATTCTTTTCCTAGACACATTACCTCGTTTTCTAAAAGTGAGTTATTTAAGTGTAAACGATGCTGCCGATATACTTCTTGGATTTTTTTGAGTGTGCATTAGTCGCTCTCCGTAATAGTGAAGTGGAACATACTTCAGTAACAGCAGATGTCTCAGGGGCATAGTAGGATGCTCTTGGGAGCCACTGGTTACAGTATTACAAGGGTGCCGGGTACAACACTGGGTTCGGTTTAAGGCAAAATAGTACTCACAGAGAAAATTTTAGCTTGCTTAACAGCTTGTACATTGGGGCACCACTGTTTATATTTATTTGATTTTTTTGTCGAGCAAGCTAAAATTTGCTTCAACACAAGAAAAATTTTACAAGTAACTGGATTGGAGGGTTTAAAAAATTGGTGGAAAAGAAACACCCCCAAAAAAAGATTGCAATTGATTGTGAATCAGAGCTATTTAATGACACTTACTGAACTCATTTCTGAAACATTCTGAAAGTTAGCAAAAGTTAGCAAAAAACAAAACTCCTAAGACAAGTTTATTTTAACAGACTGCAGGAAAGTGGGTAAACGTGAAAAAAAGCAAAAACCCCACAAAGAGAACAGCTGTGGCAAAAATTTGGCAAATTTAACAAAACTGTATATAGTAAGATTTAGGTTTAGTTCTGTTTGTCAAGATTAAGTTATACTTAAGTTAAGAGATAAAGTGAAGCATCTGGAGTGTAATGAGTAAATGACTGAAAGAGCTTAGCATTAACAGCAAGTGAATGATGTAAAGCTCCTCTGTCTTTCTCCTCCAACATACACTGAAACTACTTTCTCTATCAGCATCTTCTGTAAGCTCAAGTGCTGTCTTTCAAGGAGAATAAACCTTATAAAACTAGTTTATTTCTTTACATTATCCTTTGTTATGTTATTAAACAATATTTGTCATGTATAAATTCATTTTTCTTATTTAAAAATGTATTAAAGCAACTTGGGGGAAGCATTTTTGGGTCAGGAACAGATTAAAGGCATTTCAATTAATTTCAATGGAGACAATTTATTTGAGATACGAGCAATTTGACATACGAGCAATGTTACAGAATGAATCAAACTCGTATCTCAAGGTACCACTATGTATATGTATAGGCTACATAGCTACCTGCAGATTGTTTACTTCATAACATGCTATTATGATTATAGTCCTTTGTAACTGTAATTAAGATTGTATTAATTATTTGTATAATAGTAAAGTGGTAATTTCCAGTTTTTTGCAACAAATTATTTTAAATGTCATGTGGTAATTATTTTATTAATTTATTCTTCAGAACAACTGCTCAGGCTTTTCAAACTTCTACAACCTCTACATCCCACCTACAAGTAATTTTTTTTTATTATTCCATTGTCACTTTAGTCTTATGCATATTGAACTACAACAAATAATGTTTGTAATGTAAAAAACTATAGAAGTATTTCATACAAGGTTAGGTTGACTATGCACATGTGAGAATAGGCCTACAATAATCTTTGCAATTTAAAATTTGGCTGTAAATTAAGGTAGTTAATTTATTTAGAAACTTTTTTTATTTGCTCATATTTTTAATAGCCCTTTTTACTTTCTAGTATGCAGATTATAAAGTATTGTAATCATGCACAAAAATCACATGAAATTTTGACTTTCAATTTTTCAAAACTCTATAGCTTGAATACTGTTTCAGATAGATAAACGAAATTTCACATATAAGTACAATATCTAATTATCTGCCTTCTTTCAAATTTTGAGTAATTTCCTTTGACTGGAAGTAGTAATATGCTATTTCCGATTTCTCAAAAAAAAACACATTTGAAGTACTAACAATATTCTTACTATTATACGCATACTGTTTTTCATTCATTTGGCATGAAATTCTTTTTTTCTATGAGATTTTATTATATTTTCAAAGTTTAAGTAATCAAAAATGTATTAAAAATCATGTCTATATCATGATGTGCCATCTCCGGTAGTGTTATATAAGAATATTCGAGAAAGTTTAGGGGAGATCACTCCCAGTTTATTTAAGATACATTACATTTAATTTTGAAAATATTAATTAGCTAAACATATTTATCATTTTTTTTTTACATATCATAAATACAAAAAGCATTTGAAAAAATCATACTATTAAAAATGTCAGAATTTTTTTATGGTCTCAGATAAAAATCTGTCAAAAGCACTCAAAACAAAATTGCTAGTACTTTAAGAAATATATAATTTTAATAAGCTTAGAAAAAAGTATAGGTAATCTACCTGTGGGAAAAATACAAATATTTCGGTGGTTATGTGACTTACTTAAAGTCTGTTCTTTGTAAAATATAATTTTATAGATCTCTTATTTAGTGTTAAGTTTTAGTTGGGCTTCCGCAGTTTGTAGGATGTCTGTGATCTGAGCCTACCCTAAATAAATGCTGCATATCATACTATTGTTATTTATGCTAAGGTCAAAGAAATTAATTTATCTGGACCATCAAGCCTAAAAGACGGCTGTACTTATGATTTACTGGTACAGTCATCAAGAATTTTCTGAAGTATGACATGGAAATATCATAACCATATTGCATGACATCATGAATTATTTTGATCAAAGACATATTTGATTTAATCATATGCATTGTATCATCAATCATCATTACTTTTTATGCATGGGGTAGATGAAGTAGAGTTAATCTGTTTCAATGACCTCAGGGGGTTAGGTGAACACTATGCCCAGCTGCCTTTGTTTTCCTGATTTGAGGTAGGTACTCATCAGAGCTGGGTGGACTCAGGGATGTCCTACAGACTCCAACCTGTGATCTGAACTTGAGACTTTTGGGATAGCAGTCTAGCATACTACCTTCGGCAACATGCAATGTATACTTAAATAAAATATGCTCCCATTATGTACTAACAATACATTATATAAATAGTTATATATATTTATTATATTGTTTGACCTCAATGCTGACTCTGGTTCAAACTTTCCACATAAAGCACCTGCACCACCAACAACTACAGTCAGCCCGGTCGTGTATCAAAACACAACCACCTTGAACAATACGTCCACTATCGCACCAGTCAACAGCACAGCGGAGTTGAACACAACAACAGAGTCAAACACCACAACACAAGCTTCAGGAAGGAGAAGGCGTGCTGCTAGTGATGGGGAACAGAAAACTGCAAAGGCTACAATATCAGTGTATGACCCATCAACCACATCAGTTCCAACTTCTGAAGGTACGCTCAAACTAGTGCTAAATATATTTTTAAAATGCATGGACAAATTTTAAGTAATATACATTCATGTGATTTGTTTGGCAGCAAAGGACTGCAACCACATTAATATTATGACTTTGATTTTGGGCAGCTCTCTACAGCTGTAAGTTCAGCAACTGTAGCTACATATTCTATAGTACTTGTCTACTATTTTCTTGGTCTTTTTCACTTTGGCTTACAATCTGGTGCCTACCTGGTGATATTAACTTCTCTTCTTCTCAGTATTTGCCCAACCTGTCCCCATTTATTGGGTTTAATGTCTTTAGTTATGGGATGCTGCCCTAAACTTTGCAATAGCTGTACACAACGAGACAATTTCAGGCCATCTTATATTAAAGATGCAATTTGAGCATTTGTTAGTGAAGGCTTGTATCCTGTTAGTGTTTGATATTCTAGGTCTCTGATGTGTAGAGCAGTAACACCTTAATATTTGTTTTATAGATTTCAATCTTGCTCTTTAAGGCACATCTGATCTGGTTGATGCAGCTTTTTATACATGTAAACTTGTCTGATTCTTGCATTTCTTCTTTATTTTAATTTCACTGGATCAATTTCTACATATAGTTATATATATATATATATATATATATATATATATATATATATATATATATATATATATATGGGGGGGGCTGATGTATGTATAAATTTACTAATATACACACATATTTTCTTATTTATTGTGATTTGCCATGCTTTTCTGAAAATGAATTTGTTTTTTTTACTTTCCTTGTTTTTGGTTCAAGCTTAGGCAGGTATTGATTTACTTTAATGTATGTAACAAATCAAGTCAACACAACGCTGGTCTATTTTATTGATTGCTAAATACAGTTTATATTTTACTTTACCATCTAAAAACAATAGGCACATTTTTTTTTAAATCTTTGTCACAGCTCCCGACTCCAACATCTCATCTGAGTGTATGCAAGATCCAAACATCCTAACTGTGGTCATCATCCTTTCTGTCATGGTAGTGCTGCTCCTGGTTGCCTGTTCCATCTTTGTCTGGCTGTGGATGAGGTCCGTGCCGAAGACGTACCCAGCAGACAACACAAGGTATGCTGCCAACCTGGAGACTGTCAGGATCCCTCGGCTGGGAGTCAGTCAAGCAGCAGACAACCATGGCTGTTGATCTTGTTCATTAATATTGGAAAAAAAAACCACTAATTTTTTCAACTAATTTCAATTTTTTTTTAGGCATAATTAGATTATTTTATTAAATTGTAGGGGAGAGAATTTCACATTGGCCTTGTATTATATTGTACAATCCAACACCCTCCTTTCCCTGCACCACCCTTTCCCCCACACACAAGTGTTTAAATTTATGGCTTAGCTAAACATTTCAGCAAAGGTGGCAAACACAATTTTGCTACTTCCTGTTTTTATGTAGGCCTACATGAAAATGATATATACATATACATGCATATATACACACACATATATATATCATAAATATCATATATATATGTATGGCATATATATATATATGTATGGCATATATATATGGCATATATATATGTAGCATTTATGTATGTATATATAGGATTATACGTATACACAATATACAAACATGTATATACATATATATATACCTACATACATGTACACACACATACACTTGTATATGTGTATATATATATATATATATATATATATATATATATATATATATTTGCATATATGTATAATCATATATATATATATATATTATTTTTATTTTTTATTATGTATATAATATTTTTTTTTCATTGTATTAATTTTACTTTATTTTGCTGTATATACATAGTTGTACAAATGGAAACCTCTATTCTTTCATTCATTCCATTTAGAAAATCTTGTTGGGGGAAACAGCTTTAATTGAAGACTTGCAATTTAAATGTATCCTGACAGAGAGCTAACGTAGTCATTTGCCATTCCATAATAATTCATTTTGTATTTATTTATTTTAAAATGGTCAATATTTAAAAAAAAACTAAATGGAATAATCATTATCCAGCATAATAGGAGGTAAAAATAATTATTATAGTCATAAGATAGTAATATATTAGCAAAGATTCATAATGTTATTTTAGAATTAAATCGCAAAAAAATCTGAATGTACTAGAAAGCAATAAAATGTTTGCTTGCACTGAGTAAAATTGAGTCTACTAGCTTTATTAAAACTCCAATCAGGATGTATGGATTTGACTACTTACTGATAATAAATAAGTTCTACTTACTCATATTATTGTTTAGTATTTTAACATATCTGAAGTTATAATAAGCTCTTTTCAAAATGTTCTCCCCAACACCTATAAAAATGTAACACTTCTTCAATGATAAATGACATTATCAATTAATTATCAATTATTCTGGTTCTATACCAAAGTTTTAGCTAATTATGTTACAAAAAGTTTGGCCATGGAAATCGCTTTCCTGTATTGTTATGCTATGTCATTACTACTGCCTCCATAATTAAAACTTACTAAAATAATAACACAATTTTTACAGCCTTTATTCATAGGTATTTATGTTTTGTCAGATTTGAGAGTAGGCCTATTTATTAACACCATTAATCCATAGTTTTTACCTATCATAAAAGAATATTGGTGGGCTAATGTATCTTTTTTCTTGAATAAAAAATAATTTTTAGTTATACTCAAGTTTCTAAATTTTGTAAAATTATAAATCTGACAACTTAATATGTGAAGAGAAATAAAACTTTGGCCTATTTTATTGTTGTTTTATTTTATATTAAATAATTTCATTGAGAAAACTAATTAAGTTGTAGGCAAACAACATTCTCTTTTTAAAATAGCACAGCAGTTCCTAGAATTTTAAAATTAATTTTTTCATTAGAATTAAAACTTCTTAGTCAATAGTTGTTTCTTTTTTTTTTTCAAATTAACATAAAGTAAAAAAGCAAAATTAAGCACTTTTAAGAATGAAGCACTCTAAAAGCAACAAAACACAGGTGAAGCCAGGTATTTGTGATGGAAATGGGGGGGGGGGGGAGTGGTGAGAGCTTACATAAGCACTAGTTTTTTATCATTTCAATGTCTCCCACAACAGCTTTTCAAGTTGTGTTAGAGCACTATTTCCCTTATAGTCTTATATTTCCATTGCATATTTCAACAAATCCAACTCATATGTAGGCATCCTACATGATTGGACAGTACTTTTAGTAGGCTAATTGAGATTTGAACAAATATGTCACACAGACTTAATCACACCACTCTCAATCAGTGCTATTGTTTATCAATGCACACTGTAAAAACTTTATGAAAACTTAAAACCTGGGTTCATTTATAGCTGCTTAAAATGTCAGGCTTGAAAATGTCTAATTCAAGCATATATATATATATATAGGCCTTTACATATATATATATATATATATATATATATATATATATATATATATATATATAAATAATGTAGGGACAAATCCCCTCCCACAAAAAAAAATTCTAGCTATGGACAGCAATCCATATAGAAACAAATATGCCAAAATCAAACAACTGCTGGATGGACAACGGCTATGGAAGTAAATCCAGAAAGGAAAGCAGGCTGAAATCGGAGTCAATGGCATAAAATACGTTGACACATAATAGATATTTGTGTTGGAGGAAATTCCTTCTAACATTTAAATTTAGATCAAAGACGAAACCAATGAGAAGGGCAGTAATAAACAAAAATTTGCACTTTACAGTGTTAGATGAGTAGGCTTTTTAAAAATTAATACAATATACTGAACAGTAATAGTTTATAATTTTCAAATTATTTTCTCGCTCACATTTTGGAGATTTACTAATCTTTAATTAGTACATTAGAACAACCTGTTTTAAATTCTTGTAGAGTATTGCGTGAATAATGGAATGCACATTTTCATTAAATTTCTGTAAATGCAGTACATTTGTACAAAACTAATAAAAACAAAAGCAATAAACTGTTCCAGAAGGTGTTTAATAATAAATCAAATTAAAATGAATGAGTATATATACACAAGTACATCACACAGTGATCTGCAAAATCTTATCTTGTTTAGTAATTAATTGCCACTTTTCTTAAATAATACATGAACATTTTCTTACAGGGAAGAGTTAAAACATGTAACCAAAGTTATAACTAGGGGAGCACACTCAATAATTTTCAAGCCAACACCTCTTTCAATGTTGTTGTTGCAATGTAAATGTAATGTATAACAAGTACAATGTACAGCCTGAAATAATTTGATCAGAAAATATGATTAAAACAATTTTTGTTGTCTGATGCGTCTTAATGGTCCAAAGCAGGGATCTCCAAATTACAGTCCGCTGGCCAGATGCAGCCCACAAAGCCCTCTCATCTGGCCCGTTAAGATCCTTTTGACTACGGAATTCAATTTTTTTTTAGTGCCCAGCCATGGCCAAGAAGAGGAAAAGAAAACTAGACAATGAATGTCAGCAATTTCAAGACGAATGGCGTTTGAAATACTTCTTTATCAAATCTGGAGAGAAAGCATTGTGTGTGATTTGCAATGAAACCACACCCTTGAAGAACAATTAGATAACAAACCTTTCCATTGATAATTTCAGGTCACTGTTGATGTAAGGGACATCAAATCTAAAGCCAGAATTGTCTTCTATTCTGACATTCAGGAAAACATTTTCACCATTCCCACTAATACAGGTGTTCATGTATAGTGTAACAATGTGTTATTAAATAATAACTGAATAAAATAATATTAAATAAATAATAAAAAAACCATTTGGATGAGTATGTTGTCGCTTATTGATAGTTAATGCGCCACTCTGGCTGAAAAGTTTGGAGACCCCTGATAAAGGGATCAAGCCTACCAAAACAGACAAAATTGTAACTACCGGCCATACAGAGCACTAGTTGGATTAAAAGTAGACCTATTAGTAGAGAATTTCATCTTGAAAACAGTTCCGTTTCCATTTGAAACATAATTGACCAAAATTGGTGAACTGAATAAACGGGGTGAGCTTGGTTCCTGTTTATAAATAAAAGAAACATAAATTAGTAAACTGACAGTTTGTGAGTTAATGTTAAGTTTCAACAGAACAGATTTTAACTTGAATCAAATAAAATATGTGTGATAAGGAGAATGCAATGTAAATACATGTTTAAAATAGTAAAATAAAATAACTTACATTACAATACTGTCCCAGCAATTGATCATCAGTTGTAGAACCTTGATAAACATTGATGTAATTACTACTGCAGCTACTTGGGTTATCATGGGCTGTGACCTGGGTGAACCAATAATACATTGGCCTGCTTGAGATTGGTGTAATGTACCATGCACAAGTCTCATTTCTGGTGAAAGTTGCAGGAAAGTTGGGGCTAGTAATTACACCTGTTGAGATACCTTCAATGGCACCACCACATCCTGGACCTGGGATAAACGGAAAACACCTTTTTACTAAGAAGGGGCAGCATTTTAAAAAAACTGGCATCTACAGATATACATTAAATAATTGTTGCATTATGAAATAATGAAGTGAAATTATCCACAACCTTAGCGACATCAATAATAGTCACAGTACTAGTTACTTTGTCAATTATACCAGCCATTACAGCTTCCCCATTGTTCTCTAGATGCAGAGTTGATTATTAATTTAAAAATCAATTTATTTTAATTTGTTTAAAATGTATGCACCCGGATAAAGAAAAATAAAGATAGTAATAGTGATAATTTACAGAGGATGATTCATTGACTGAACAACATAGAACTTCCAGCCAGAAGGTTGAAAATTTGCAAATGTATCCTGCCAAATAAAAACATGTCTACTTACTTTGAGTTGATGCCACATATGTAATGTCAAATCCTCTTTGTGGTACACTTTGATCTGTTATTAATCTTAGCGTCACTATGTTATCATTCAGATGTATTGGATCAGGGATGTAACTTCCACACAGCTTGTTTACTCTTAAGGATGAGCTATTAAGAACCTAGAAAGAGGAGGGTATATTTGACTTCAATTTTAGAAGGTATAAAAGCACTGAAGTCAAATAAATATTTTGTATTTGTAAGAAAATTTATATTTTCGAACTGCCCACACACAACTGCCAAAACTCATGGTTTAACTTACATTTCAGCATGGGGGAAGGGGGAGACGAGAGGAGACATCAATTCTTAATTATGTTTTAATTTACACATACTATTATTGATATAAATTCTTGCACTTATGCCTATATTTATTTAATATAACATTTATCATATTACCTGTAGACTGTCATATTCACACAAATAATGATTCTCCAGGTTAAAATCATTAAAGTAAAGAGAAATTGTGGTACGTTCAGGAGAAGTTATAAAATAAGTGCAGTTTAAATTATGTTGGTACGGAGTTGGATAGTTTGGGCTTGTTAACCTTCCACTTGAGTGTGTGTAATTCCTGTGACAATCTGCACAAGAAAATTGTTTAAATTACAAAATAAAATTAACTTAGTAAATTGTCTGTATATTTTAAATCACACTAGGAGATAAGTTGTTACAAAGTAAAAAGCTGTTTTGGTTCAAAGCATCAAGTAATGCACAGATTTAGATCTAAAAATAGATTTTTTAAGAGCCATTACATTTTTAAATGTACCTGATAATGTATAGTTTAACTGAAATCTTGAAGCAGAAGAACTTGATAGTTGTGATTCGATGAAAATTTGTTGTGAAGTAGAATAAAAAGTTGGAGGTATTGCAGCACCTCTGTAGGTTTTTTCCTGACCCTAAATTTAGAATGATATTTTAAAGACAACATCAATTTGATATAAATTAATGTTTAATTATTCATTTTAAAAAAGCATAGTTTATAAAATAAATTCAAAACAAAGCTTGTACAATCAAATTAAAAATAATGAAGTGTTATGTCAAATTTGACTGATGTCTAAAATAAACATTATTGATAGATACATCAGACTAACCACAGGGTGATCAGAGAGCCTAACAAACTCAGAGTCTGTCAACTGGAAATCTGTGAAATCTATGCGTATTGTTTGATCAACTGAGCCTGAGTCAATTGTCCAATGGCAGTGCTGTGTAGTATCAGGTTGTGCTGAATAGGATATAGTCTGTGTCACATTGGTAGCATTATAGCCACCTCCACATACAACTGTAGAGAGAGAAATCATGTTTAAAACATGATGTGCATAAGCTTTTGATATTCCAACCAGTTTGTACTTGATATGATTATACTCTTTAGTACATTGTTAACAATTTGCCCACTGCCCCAAACAGCTAAACAGATTGACCAAAACATTCACTCTGGTTACCAAAAGCAGTGCATCAATTTGTGCGCTAAATTAAAATATTAAAATACCCCCCCCCCCCTCTTAGGCACAAAACAACAACCCATTTAAAAGATAACTATATGTATATATTGTTATGTATATACACAACGGTCAACAAAGAAAATGCACAACAGAAAACTGAGTAACTAAAATGTGTGCAAGGGAATTACAGATGTTAGTAAAACAATTACCACTTTCATGTATATTGTACCATAATAAATCATTTTGTTCCATGAAAATTAAAATAAATTGTAAGTTTATTACTATAATTAGTTTGTATTTCCATATGTTTCTGTTTGTTGAGTATTCAGATACACATTTTTGATGTTTTAAATTGCGTTATCGCAACAATTTATTTAGCAGAACAAGATAGCAACAAGAGGCCCAAGTCAGAGCTGTTCAAATATGCTGACCATGTTACAAGCCTTAAAGCTAAAAGCCTCTCTGAAAATATCTCTATTCAAATCTATCTAAAGCCACACTATCTGGGTTTAGTAAATTTAGCTGCCTCCATTGCACTTGTTAATAAAAAAAAACGTACCATCAATTTCTTGGAAAGTTGCATTAAAACCTCTGCCAGAAGTAACAGAATCAGTTTTAAAGATAACCAGAATTACATTGCCTGAAGATCTCACTGTTTGTGGAATTTGCTGACCGCAATAAGAACCAAGTATTCTGTGATCAACTGTCAGCCCATCATACACCTATTATTAAAAAATAACACTTTACATCTCACTATGTGGTCAGCACATATATAGACTTATACATTATTTGAGGCGTAATAAAGAAAGTAATTATGAATGTACATTTACATGTACATATAAATTTTTTTATAAAACTTAAATAGAATGAAATGGAATTGGGAATGAAAATGAACGGAAAGGTATATATATATATATATATATATATATATATATATATATATATGCTGCCATATTTCATCATGTATTAAGAAAAATTGTGTATTTTCCATGTGAATGTCAACAGAGAAACTCCAAGGGTTTAATAATTAATTAACTAGTTAACATGCTTCAATTAGTGTCCAGGCTTGAAGAAACTGTCCCTCCATAAAATTTAGTAGATTCCCCCCACAACACTTTTGAAGCCTAAATGTTTCACTGATGAGTCAATGAAATTTTGAATAAAATAATTTCTATTAATACACAAATATTATACACAAATATTGAGAAAATAGCAACTTTGAAAGATTGTGTTGTTATGGAAATTCCCAACCGAATTCTTTGCAATAGATGGGGGAGTCTTCATTATTTTCTTGAGATCCCATGCAATGTACATCAAGTATCATTCAAATTAAACACTTATATACAAAACATGTAAATTGCAAAATAAAAAAAAATTATGTTAATTTTCAGTACCTTTTTTTCAAGAGGTAATTATCATGGTAAACCATAATATCAATTAACTTGTCTCAACCAAGAAAATCTTCAAAACAATAGGACCTGTTACTCCATAGTTCCACTTACTTTTTTGTGGATTTCTTTGTAATTTCACATGATAATTTTCATGGCCTGTTACAAGTACAGATTAAAAGTACAGATTAAAAATGAACATAAATACTCACAGTGAGACTGTCTCTTTCACAGTTGATGTGGTATTCAATATCTATATTATTAACTGTAAAGTTGATGGCTTTGTTTGTTCCTGTAAATAAACAATAACAAAAAACCACTGACTACTAAGGTGTTGTCTAGTGTTAGAGCACTGGACTGTTAACATAAATGTCACCAGTTTGGTCCCTAAGCTTAAGTTTGTAGGCTGTGCATGAGTTTCCCCCAGCTCTTTTTTCTACACAAGGGACAGAGTGGCCGAGTGATAGAGAGCTAACCTGTATGTCTTGAGTTCAAATCCGGGTTCAAGTAAAGACGACAGGGCATAGTGCTGACCACACTATCCTTTCATATGGAGAGGTCACAGAAACAGGTGAACTTGTCAGGTTTGGAAAGGGAACTTTACTTTTACTTACTTTTCTCTACACACAGAATATAGCTAATGATAATCAATCAAACTGACTTATATTAAAGGGATTAGCCTGAGTATCATGTTACAGTCTGTTATGAATATATCAGCTGGCCTCTTCTGATTGGTCAATACATCAGTGTGACATCAAGATATCTACCTGAATTATCAATGTAACCCTACTACTAGACTGACATCAAGGTAAAATATGACTTAAAAAAGGAACACATTCACATCACAACACTATTCTTGCATAAGGTTACAAACCTAAAGTAGCACTGGTACTAAAATCATATCAAAATACCAACCTGACATACCAATGTACCACTAAATGGTTTAGCCAACAAGTGTTTTACATCTAGCAAAACATCTATCTTTTAAAACTTGTTATATTTTTATATTTACTTATCATGTCTCCTTATAAGCAAAATGAAAATCCATTAGAGTGCACTATAAGCAATCAGCAGAGGTCTAAGAACAAAACACTAGCTTTTACTACTGCACCTACCAACAAATATAAGCCAATTGCATTCCAAATCAGGCTCATACTGTCCATCATTGTTTATATCCAAAGATCTTATTGTTCCACTTGGTTGTCTTAACGTACCACCACAACCTTGGAGTGGCCCTAGAAAATGATTTCATAATGTTGTGTATTATCAGTGGCTAAACAAAAGTGGTTGAGAAAACTGGACATAATCTTAAAAATGCTTCTGTACAGGAATACAATTCACATCTATTGCTGTGGACTGGAATTAATAGAACTATCACAGTGTAATGAAACAATTGGGTAAACTATATGAACATAGAAAAACAAAATTTTTCAAAAGGATCACTAGTTTTAAAACTCCAATTTTTTTTACCTTCCCGCCTAAATATCTGTAGGGAGTTGGATATTGTTTCCCTATTAATTACCCCCCCCCCCCCACATTACATGCAGATAAACTAGCTCCCACCCCTAATTAGATACCCCATGAAAAATTACCACCCCTTCTTCTCTAGAATACTTATTATTCATAGTATATCATCATCAACTTTATTCTTAATTTTAGTGTTGAAAGGGATACCCTCCAGCACAATTAAGTATATGTGTCAACTGGTTATGTGCCATTGAGACCATTAACTACAATTTCAGCCTGCTTTTCTTTTTGGATTTGCTTCTATTGTCTTTGTCCAACCAAGAACAAACTACAAGGCAGCAGTTGTTTGATTTTGGAGTTGTCTCTCCTAGAAGAGTGGCTGTCCCCAGCTAACGAGCCTCATCTGCTCGAGGGTTCGAACTCGAGACTTTAGCAACCATGAGCTTTACTGACTCAACCACGCCGGTCCCTTCATAGTATCTGAGATTGTGAAGTGGGATGGTGGGGTGGGGGTGTGTGCTTGAATGTCTTAGACCCATGTCTGTATCAGTCAAAATCTCTAGCTTCAATTTTTGAGAAACTCACAGCTCAAAACTGATAATAGAAGATTACCATTTATTTAACTACCTAAGCTTGTCATACACTTTGAAAAGGAATGCAACAAACTACAACAATACCAGTTTTGAGCTTTAGAAACTGAATTGAGCATTTACCATATGTAGTATAATAGGTTCCAGTAAAAGTAATCTGGCCATAAGGTTTTCTATTAAAATGAATGTACATTGAATCTCCTGAGCTTGCATAGATAGGCATCTGGTTATTAAGTGGCCCACAGAAATGTAAAATTTCACTTGCATTCAAATTACGTCCATCATAGAGATTTAAAAAGCCATTAAAACAGCTATGCCAATAATAAGAATTCCAACTCTCGAGTCTGAAAAATAAAATTATTTTAAAAATATTTATTGGTAGCATAAATAGAATTTTTTAGTTAAAGAAACATAAGAAAATTATTAACTTAATAAGTAATCGCATTTCCATATGATGGATTCTACTAATTTTAATTCACTTTTTATTTTTGATAACTAATTCAGTTGTTTTTATTTTGTTGTATTATTTTTTATTTAAAGCTACACGCACATTCAACCTGATTTTTAAAAAGACAATTTTTAATAATTTTTTTGTTGAGGTTTAAAAAAAAAACTCAACACTAAACAACTGGAGTGATTGTATAAAGTATTTATATCACCAGGGTAGTCATACTAGAAAATAAAACCTTTAACTCCTTTAATTACAAATGTGTGGAGGGGGGAAAGTATCAGATAAAACAAGCATTTTAAAATCTCTCACTTGAATTTAATGATTTTGTTATTTGCAGTGATATTCCAAAAACATTTACAAATGTTTGGAGGGGGAAAGTATCAAATAAAACAAGCATTTTAAAATCTCTCACTTGAATTTAATGATTTTGTTATTTGCAGTGATATTCCAAAAACAGTTGACATCACTCTGGTGCTGGAGTGTACGAGTGTATGCAATTGTTCCATTTGGTTCTGTAAAATCTCCACCACATTCTGTAACATAAATGATTGAATATCATAATAGAAATTTTATTTTTAATTTGCATGTAAAACATTTTAATAACAAGCTTTTAAGTAATAGTGCACAAAAAGGAGAAAATAAATTATTTTCTTTAAATATATAATAACACACTATTTAAATTGCGATTAAAAAAAGCATAGGTCAATATATTATCTATTGCAAACCTTTACTAATATTTAGGAAGAGAACCACGCTTTTCTTTATAGTTATTTTTATAGTAGAGTATTATAATATACGAGCCGACCCGCTGTGTACCATTAATTATTTAATTTCTACTTTTCAGTAATTCATAATTTTTTTCTTTAAAACACTATCAGTAGCTCGTGAAGGACAATTGTTCTCACCGTCTCTTCCCCCACCCCCAGTGAAAGCAGCACCTTAGTTTCAAATAGTTTAAAAACTAAATTACCTGCCCCTTATAGCCATCACTAATTTGACCCGAAACTCTATGATTGTAAGCATTATGTGTGAACCACAGCTCACCAGACTGGTAGGGGTGGTGGTGAAAGCAATATGTTCTGTTGTGGATGGAGCGAGGAGGGGTGGGAGGAGGGTTAGACAGTTGGCTTGTGTGTGTGGTGGTGTTTATGTAGATAATTATATATATAAATTCAAAGTAAATCATTTATTTTCTCTGTTTTTGTGCACTATTGCATAAAAACTTGATATTTAAGTTTTTTATGCAATTTTTTTCTTTAGTACTTTAAATTTATATTTACAACTGAGTTGGATGACTAAAAACTATTGCACACCAAATGCACATGAAAATAGTGCGTAAAGAGTAGTACAAGAGTAGTACAAGACTGCCTACTAGCCTGAGAAAATTATAATTAATTCATAAAAAAATAACTTGTCATCCAATGAAGTCAAATTTAATGTCACATTGCATTGTCTTCAAGTCTTGACTCATGTGCCAATTTTGAAACAAATTTTTTGGAGGAGTGCCCAAAAGTTTGATCACCCGTTTTGATCTATGGTTACAGACAAACTCTCAACAGAATGACAACAGAAAGAGGAAGTCAAATTTAATGTCACATTGCATTGTCTTCAAGTCTTGACTCATGTGCCAATTTTGAAACAAATTTTTTGGAGGAGTGCCCAAAAGTTCGATCACCCATTTTGATCTATGGTTACAGACAAACTGTCAACAGAATGACAACAGAAAGAGGAAGCAAGTTAAATAAAAGCTTATAAAATGTATAAATCTATCTGTCTGTCTATCTAATATATATATATATATATATATATATATATATATATATATATATATATATATATATATATATATATATATATATATATACATATATATATATAGCTCTAGTAACAAATGGTTTAAAAATGTCTTTACCTTCTGTTGTGTAATGTGCATGAAATCCTTTATTACTTCTATATGAATTAGTAATAAATTGAAAATGCAGTTCATTTTGCGTTGATATTTTGGAATAAAATGTATTAGAACCACAAATTCTTTGGCCACTACTTGGAAACAAGACATAATCTCTGCAATAGTATCTATAATATCCAGCTGAAATAAATGTATGTATATATATATATATATATATATAAATATATATATATATATATATATATATATATATATATATATATATATATATATTTAGATAGATAGATATTATATATATATACATACTAATATATATATATATTAGACACACGTACATTATTCTGCTTAGTTTTCAGTTATAGTATCATTTTTTTAAAACAAAACTTATTCTTTAAAATAATACTTACAAGGTGCTTCTAACTCAATATCCAAAAATTCCAGAGTTATTATCTGATTTTTACTGGCTTTTATGGTGTAATTGCAAACTAAATTGTTAGGATAGTTGTTTGGGTATCCAGGAGATAATATTGATCCTTGAGGAGAAGTAAAGACACCACCACACACTATTGAAATAAAATACAGATATCTGATTATGTTTATTTACCACTAAAATTGATTGAACTTTCTTTTTTGGCTATTTACTATTTGTCTTATCAAGTGAAGAAGATAAGATGTTTATCTTGTTAAAAAAGAAAGAAAATGTTTTGCAACAATGGAATAAAATATTGTGATGTGCTCAATATATACAATTACATAAATATAATAATTTTATTAATGGTGATTCAATTTTTTAATGGTTTTATTTAAGACAGGAAAAACAATGTCAATTAAAGAGAAGCTGATTTAATTAATTAATCAAAGTTGCCAAAGGACACTTTTGACAGAAAAATGGATTTTTAAACATTCCAAAATGAAAAAAACTATCATGTGTGTTAGATTTTATGTCATTTCAGTTGTTTAAAATATTTTTTAAAAATAAAAATGGAAACATCATAAAAATCAAACATAGCAAAAAATCTAAATATGTTGTAAGTTGTTAATTTACATGAGGTCCAGTTGGCAGAAAATCCTATGCCATTAGAGTCAAGGTCAGATCTAAAAATAACTTTCATTTTGTTTGATTTTGAAATTTGAGGAGGTGGAGCATGATTCCTGCAGAATTTGCCCAGCAACTGCTGTGTTTCATTCACAGAATCAAATACCTAAATAATAAATTTCTGCATTAATAAGATTACTCCAAAGTAATTTGTTTGCATTATCAAATATCTAAAAGCTTAAAGTTGGTTAACGCAAATGCTAAAGAATATTATTCTGAATGAAATTAAATAGCTACCATTATTATCCCTTTATGTGGGCCCTATATGTTATAAGGTTTAATGGTAGTCTATATAAAGATAAAATAAATCAAAACATTTAAAATCATTAACTCTCCCAAAGCTGTAAAATTAGTGAGAGTTAATGGTCAATAACTATTTTCTAATAGTATTTGTTGGTTTATAGACTCTATGCCTATTCCATTAGGGAACACTAACATTTAAAAAAATGTAAGCAATTAGTAAAAAAGTATTACTTTATTTTAACTACACTTAAGTTGCTAATACTGTGTATTGTACATTTTTACCTCGACATGATCAAATTCACAATCACTGTCTGCTTCCAGATCAAAATGGGGGTTGAAATTAAGCACAATATGATATCCTGGATCAACATTGATTTCCCACACACACTCAATATTGTGTGGATATCTGCTAGGATAATTTGGTGATTTCAGCTGGCCACTATTACTATTGAACAATCGATTACAACCTAAAGATAATAATTCATAACATTAACATACTTCAAACATTTTTGTGTGATTACGATTGCAAAGTGGAATTGAAGAAATTAGTACAAACTTTTGAGATGAAGGAGGCAATTAAAATTTGATTTTGATGTCTACTTATAACGTGTATGCAATTGATAATAAATTAATATGTCACTTTTAATTAATTCTTTTCTTATACATATATGTTTTAGTAATTAATTTGTGTGAAAGGGGGCGTTTTAATATGTTTTGCCTAGGGCGCTAAATAACCTGGCGCCGGCACTGCACACACACAACACACAAATGAGAAACTGTCACACACATGACACACACATGTGTATCTGTCACACACATGACACACACACAGACGTGTAGCTGTCACACACATGGCACACACATGTGTAACTGTCACACACATGACACACACGTGTGTATCTGTCACACATTAGTCAACATCATGGTCATTATTGTTTTATTAAATAGGTAAAAGTTTTGACTAATAATCAAATTCACTTTTTTTTTAAATGATTAAGCTAAATCTTAAAGTATTCATTGTTTACCTTAATGAATAAGAACAAGCAAATTAATATAAATGCAAAAAAAATGTATGTTGTAACTATTGCATTCTAAAACATTCCAGGTTTTTGTGTGAGACTCTTAGTCAAGTATTAATCTAAAGTTTGCTTTTACGCGCAGTGAAATTCTATAAAGGAAGTTAAACCTTGAGCTAGTCAAACGTTCTAATAATAATCCTTCTTCACAGATGAAATACATTTCACCTGCCTAAAGGACAAGCAATGTTTAAAAAAAAATGTATGCTGTTTTTTTTAACTGACAGCTTTACTATATTTATTTTTAAGCAGTTATGTAATTATGAAAATTTCATATAGATTTACTTACTGCTGCTGGTAAAACTATATTCTACTCTGAATCCTCTTCTTGGCACAGAAGAGTTACTCTTTACCAATGTAAGTCGTAATTCATTACTTTGGGAAGTAAAACTTGGCGGACTTGTGCCGCTACAGAATACACCAACATTTGGAGAATCTTGGCTTCCTCCATTTTGTAATATTAAATTTTCTTCTGAACAATTTAGAGGAAATTCAAAATCCCAGTTGGATAACTAAAATATAAGATATTGCAAATAATCATTATATATATATATGATTATAATACATATAGGCCTACATTTTATATATATATATATATATATATATATATATATATATATATATATATATATATATATATATATATATATATATATATATATATATATACAAAATGCAAAAAAAATGTTCAAATCAACTAGAATGATACTAAATACTATAAATATTTTGTCTAGGATATTTTGTCAGAGATCATTTGTCCTGTCAACATATAAATTTACTTATAAACTGGGAATCACCTTGCCATTTCAGTAAACCTTTATTTCTGTGTCCATTTATATTAACACATAAGTGTACAATCAAGCTATGATGTAGTATTTACTGTTAATGTAATAGATTTTTAAAAAAACCACTCTCAACCTCAATTACACTCCCTTCTGGTGCACTGATTTTCCAGCTGCAATAGTTACTTCCTGTGTTACCATTTGGGTATCCAGGACTTGATATTATGCCATTTGGTTCAGTCAGAATTCCTCCACAAGCTAAAGATAATAGGTAGTTTATTAAAAAATCAACAGTTTTGTAACATGCCTTAATAATGGTAGGCTTATACTTTTTTAATGTTGAGGAAAAGAATTATTCCCGTAAGTGTATTATGTTATAGGAGAGTAAGTATAGTGTGGCCAAATGGAAGCATGCTCATCTATTAACCTTTAAGTCTTTGGCTCGAGTATGTAGCGTGTCTCTGAGTCTACCCACATATGATGGGTACCAGATTAACATTCAGGAAATTAAAGGCAGCTGGGCATAGTGCTGACTACATTTATCCTTTAATATGCCATAGAAACTGGGTTTTTGTTTATGATATAGGAGAGTAATTATGTTCTTATAGGCCTTACATCAATTGTAAAAATAAATTACCTAAAAATTCTCTGAATTTTATTTACTGTAAAAACATATCAATGGAACAATTAATAGTCTTTGCTGCTTTTTAGAATTCAAATAAAGTAAAGGCTTAAATCTTAAACTTACTTGTGAATTCATAATTAATTTCAAAACGACTTGCCACATTGACGTCTGTTGCAAATCTTACTAAAGCATCATTATCAGGAATAATAGCTCTATCATTTCTAGTTCCACAATACCGTTTGTATAATACATTATCAGCTATGTTCCCTGTAAAAACAATTGTTGTAATATCTTTCACATAAAACTTCAGCCATTACATTTTTTTCATAACTGTTTCAAAACATATATTCAAACAATGTGGTTACTAAAATGTAAAAAGCTAATAAAAAAAGTGATGAAATTAAACACACTAATAAATCCCCAATCAATACAGCTACCACAATGTAGACATTTTCTGTACAACAAAGTGTATCAGAAATTCAGATAGATTAAGAAAAAATAGGGGAGAAAAATAAACTTATTTAAAACAATTATAATTAGGCCCTAATAGGTTGAATAAACAATTGATAGTGGGCTTTCTATGCGTCAAAATTATTTTGTGTCTAAACCTAAGACAATTTAGATCTTTTTTTTTTAAAAAAATCTAGTACTAAACTTAAATAACGGAAAAAAAAACTAATTTAAATAATAGCTCAAGTAGACATAGTTGTCATGGCCAGCACAACCATAAGAAACTTGTAACAGGTGGTTTGTGTTGTGCAGACTGTGTCGCAAAATGTCGGTAAAGTTGAGTAAAAGTAACAATTGGAGTAAACACAGCAAAGACTTTTTGTTAGTAGAAAAATACGCATATAGTGTATAAGTTTTATTTCTAAAATTAAGTTCATGAATTTTATATAACCCAGACTTTTTGAGATGTTAAACTCAATTTAATAAATTCTAGACTTTCCACAAACTCTAGTATCAGCACATTTTGATTTCATAAAATGGGTATTCAAATAAATTATTTTTTTCTTGTATTTATATTTTTAACAGAAAAATGGATCAACAAAAAAAATTAAAGATTTTCTTCAGAAAAAGTCAGTCAGTGGAAAATATAGACATTTTTCTCAAGCGGAAAAAGTGGATTTTCATTAAAAAAGAGGAAAAGCTACATCTCTGTAGATACCATCATAAGTCTATTGGTCTTTAGGCTACATATATAAACATTTTTAACAAATATATTTTCAATGTTAAAACTCCACTTATAATATTATTAAAATAAATCTAATGGTTGTTACCTTCAAATATTTCCAAATAATCAAATGAACAGATTGGACTATCCTCTATTGCAAATGCCAAATTGATATTGATGGAGCTATTGATTTGATAATTATGTATTTTCCATTCACAAAACTGGTTATGTTGTGGAGTAGCAAGGGATCCATTATATACTGGAAAAGTAATTCTCCCTGTACTGTTAGTAAGGTAGCCACCACAGTCTGTGCATCATTTGAAAAAAACAATGTCTACATAAATGTGTACATAACAATGTACAATTATATAAACAAAATGGTACTAAAAAAATTCTATGCTTTTGTGATATATTTAACACTGATATATTTTACCTGCTTCTGTATCTGATGTATATGTTGCTCTGAATCCATTATTGGTGCCATGTCCATTGGTGTAAAAAATAACTGTCATTTTATTCATTGAAGAGCTTACAGGTTGAGGTACAGTATTACAGTATGTGCCAAGACGCATTGCTCTAGGTAAAAATCCATTATACACCTGTAATGAATAAGTATCACATAACAATACTTTAATTAATTAATGCACATGCCTTCGACAATTACAACTGGCCTTTTTGTAAAAAAATGTATCCTTCTTTGACTATGATTGCCATATGTTTCCTTATGTTAATTTCTTTTGTTTATGATAGCTTTTTATTTAATTTAGTATTTACTTTTAAACTGATAGAAAAACATTATGTTGGACTTTGATATTTTAGGCATAGATTTGTTTTATAAAAGGCCATTAGTCAAAACGAACAATTTATTTATAGAATTTAATTAGTAAATTAAGTATTTATTTTAATTAAATATATGATTCCTCTGAGTTTTTTTAAATTTATGACCTGTTTGTAATGTCAAACGGCTTGAGAAATTATTTTCAAATAGTTTCAGAAAAAAAAAATCACATTGATTTAAAAGTTTTAAAACGGAGCAATAAAAAAGGTACTCTACCGTAACATAATCTGAGCACATAAAAAATCCTCTGCTGAGTCTCATATCATTAAAAGTCAAGGTCACTTTTCTACCAGTTTCAACCTCAATCTGCCAAACACATCTGCGGTTGTGAGCATAAAAACCTGGGTAATTGGGAGATGTGAGAACTCCAGTTGGTGCTGTTAATGTTCCACCACAGCCTATGGTTTAAAAAGATAAAGATTTTTTTTATAAATAAAATGTTTTACTCAAAAAAAAATTCTAGTAGTAATTTAATTACAGGGCTCACTGGACGTGGTTCATGTACAATAATATAGGCCTCCAATTGCACTAAGCAGTACATGCTAATGTTTTCCATACATTTATCTTAGCCATTATTGGTCAAAAATTTTTAGCATTGACTATTAGTTAAAGCATTTGACAATTTTTTTGGCCTGAGTTTTCAGTGATGGTTGTTGTATGGATAAACATACAATAAAGACAACATGTAAAGATTGATGCCCCTTTACTTAAGTTTAAGTACATTGAAAAACATGAATAAGATACTAAAGGTTCACAATTTAAAGACAGATGCAGTAACACTTGAGTGGCAATTAGGAAAGGTACAAGAAAATAAATGCCCATTTAATGTTTGAGTTTACTTTTTACATTTACAGCAGAGTGATATTTTGAAAGTTATATATGACACTAGATATGGGATTATATAGCCTGCATTTAACCTAAAGGAGCAGGTCTATAAGTTTCACTGTCCAGGTTGTATTATAATCTATTTTTGTAAAAAAAAAAACAGCATTAATTACAAAGTTAACAATTAGCTGGGTACTGAATATTTACAAAGGATAAACTACACTGTGTTACAAAAAATGGTAAATTAAACATTCCTAAACATCATGCACAAAATACATTCTGAATGCGTAAATCTAATTATACAACAATAAGAGAATGTTTCTACAGCCTAAAAGCAAAATCTAAAACACTTACTTTCAACACTAGCTTGGAATACAATCCTAAACCCAGCAGCTGTAGAGCTGCTATCAGATCTAAATTTGATGTAAGCTGTGTTGTCCGATGTTTCCACCCTTTGTACTCCAGACACTGAACCACAGCTGTGAAAAATGTTTGGGTCTGTTGCATTTCCATCATTGATGTGAAGGAAATCAGCTGTACAATTGGTTGAAGACTGCAGGTTAAAATTTGTAATGTTGAAGATGATATAGTGTCCCACAGGTGCAACGACAGACCATTCACATTCTGTATTAATCCTGTAGTTCCCAGGATAGTTGGGACTGGTGATTGTACCACTTGCTCCAATAATTGTACCTCCACATGTTGCTAGGGACAAAGATTTTTTTAATATGAAGCTAGCATAAAAAACACAAATGCCCATTTGTGGTTATCATGCAAATCCCCCTTGGACATAAGCCCCTCCATTTGAGGTTTAATATAAGAAAAAAAGAACTTTAAAGAGAACAAAACCAAATTTTAAAACAATTCATGAAACTCAGAAGTGGGCCTAGCCTTTCAGTTTACATATTGGGGGGGGGGGGAAGGCCTAGACTTCCTTGTTCCATTTCAAATCGACCCATAGCATTATAAAAATAAAAAAATATAACAATAAAAAATGTAGAGATCTGTTGATACGCCCACATTTTGCTCAATTTTTTTTTTTAGCAGATTGGCCAATGTATAACCTAAATAAGAAATAACTATAACACATACTTCACAATGTAAAAATAATTAGGAGAACCAGTATCATGACAAAAACAAATAACTTACCAATAGAATAATTAGCTTTAAATCCCCAGCCATTTACTGGATGGTCTGTTCTAAACCTTGCCAGAAGAACGTTGTTTGTTGAATAAATTGTGCCTGGTTTTGATGTACCACACAAACGTTGTCCAATTGTAGGGGAAGAAATTGTACCACCATCATGTAATTCAATGAAGTATGAGTTGCACACACTGTAAATAGGTTTAGCTAATCAATTTAATGCATTAAACTTTATAAAAAAGTTTTTCAGTTCGGGATATTTGGTTGTATTTGATAAAGTGTCAATATTTTGTTGTGTTTGATACAATGTCGATATTTGGTTATGTTTTATACAGTATCAATATTTTATTGTATTTGATGCAGTGTGGATATTTGGTTACGTTTGATACAATTTTGAAATTCTGTTGTTTTATATGAATATGCCCATTTAATTTCTCCTATGATTTTTCACTCAACTGTTTCCATATTTTCAGATTGCTGTGTCTGATTGGGTGTTTTGTTCTATGATTAGATTGTAGTGAATTTATTTGTTGATTCTTTTAAAGGATTTGGTTTTCATTGTTTTTTTTTTCAATAAAGTTTATGATCAGTAGTTAATTATCTTGTTTTGTTTTTTATTTAGACTAAGTTTAGGCATTAACTGACACCCATAATTTAATTATGGTCCTAGGGTTTGAATATGTACCCACATGTCAGGGCTTAATTAAAAGTAATATTTTTACCCATCTCTGACTTGAATCTCAAATCTGTCATCAAAATCCAATCTCACTCTTTCTCCAGCTGGTGCAGTAATGACCCATTTACAGTCAAGATTTGGCATATAATATGTACTTCCATTATTTCTTGGAGGCTCTATTAATCTTTAAAATAATTATTTGTTGATATTAGTATTATATGAATTTAAATTTGAACACATCAAGTAAGCAGGCTGATAAGCTAAGTGTAAAAAGATTTTCCTACCCTGATGGCCTAGAATGTGACAGTATTATGTGGTCACTACAGTCCAAACTGACTTCTGAGAAGGTAAAAGAAAACCCAGATCCAAGACCACTGGAGCCGGAGACAAACTGTACAAACAAATAATTACTAGATGTCTCTAGTATTTGTGGTGCAACTGTTCCACAGTAAGTTCCATTTTGTGTTCCAAGTGGAGGAGAACTAGGTGTCAATCCATTCAAAATCTACAATAAAATATACAGAGATACACTGATTTAAAAATAATGCAGTAGATGTTTAGAGTTAATTCAAAACATATAGACATTTTAAGTATGTAACAACTTTTAATATAGCATGTATATAGATCAAAGGGTTTATGGAACAAATGATATACAATTGCCTTAACACAGTAATTTCCTAACATGTTTCATTTATCTCCTTTGAAAAACAATAATCTTAGCAACTTTAATAAAAACCAATATCTTGGCACCTCTCCAACCTATCTCATGCAATAATATATTTTGTACCTAAATTCTTATAATTATTAGTACAACCATAACCCTTATTGAGATATGGTAATGCAGTTTTGCAACTAAGAAAGAAAACTAACAACTTTCAATGATGGGACCAGGATATGAAAGCTGATGACATGTTTAAGTATTTTTTTATTGACACAATGTAATGGTCATCCCATTGTAAAAGATTACCTTTAAGTATTGATTTGCACAGGGGTTGGTATCAGGAATGTCAAACTGTTGGTTAAAAGTTAATCGAATTGTTCGTCCAGGTCGTACAGAAATTTTCCAAATGCAGGTTTGATTGGGTGTGAAGTTCTCAGGATAAAATGGGCTGGTAATGGTACCACCAGATACTTGCTCCATGATAGATCCACACACTAAAGTATTGGTAAAAGTAGAATTTATTTTAGTTACATTAAATAACCATCTAGAATTTTTCATACAATACTACTTATATCCCTAAATCTACATACTACTCAACTGTAATTTGAAGAAGCCAAGCATACACTCTTTTCTTCTAAATAGACTATATTAACATAGAAAAGAACATTTAAAAACCAGTCTAGTTTAATAAGAACTTAAAAAACATACCCTGAGTGTAAGTTATGTTGCCACCTGATCTATTTATTGAAAAATCAGAATGAAACAACACTCCCAAAGTATTACCAGGTGAAATAAATGCCGGAAAATTTTCATTGGTCGCCCTTTGAGAAATCTTATTGATATCATTCCAACCTAGCCCTATAATTAGAAAAATTAAAAATGATTGGGCTATAAAAATACAAGAGTACATTTAAGGAATGGTAAATATTTTATAGTGAGGATGAAATTCAGAAACAAGACACAGGCATGTTTAACAGCTTTTTATGAAGCAATTATATTGTTTGATATGGGAATATGATGGATTTCATGGGAGAATTGTGCTTTGTTATAGTAAGTAGAAATGTTTGATGGTTGTTTAAAATGTAAACAGAGGGGGAGGTGTGCAAGACTGGAGTTGTGTGTGAACAAGGGTGAATGCAAAGGAACAGTTGGAGGAGTTGTGTTGTGAATAACTGTGATTTTTGTGATAAAATTAGGACTCCAGTTTCAAGTAGATCAAATATATTCTTTTGCTCAAACCACACCGCCAGAGTTGGTTTATTGTGCTCTTGACAACTGTTCAAGTCTCTGTTCCACCTGGCTCAAAGAGCCATAAAACATAATAGGTCAGACAAAACGGCACATTTCTCATATTAACTGTTAAACAAATTTTGAAAAGTATGCCTACATTATTCATATTTTAGTTATAGGAATACCAACCATTGTAGAATTGTATATAATCACAGCAATCTTCTACAACCAAACTGTTAATTTGAGCTTTTATAGAATAGCCTTCAGGGGCCAGAATTGTCCATTTACAATTGGCATAGTCGGGATAATTATTAGGAAAATTAGGTGTATATAGTTCTTGATTTGTCCAGTTGGCTATAAGGGTGCCTCCACATCCTGCAATTTAAAATTGTTTGTTAACAAATAGTTTTTGTAGCAACTCTTTTTTCATTTCCACAAGAGCTTTAACATTCATTTTATCAAGTGAAAATCTTGTAAAATATATGTGAAAAATAAATACAATTTAAAATAATAATGATTTTATTGTATTATAATATTATACATTTATTTAAAAAAGGTATTATAATTTTAGATTGAAAAGTACTGCTTTTTTACTAGGCATTTAAACTTTCTTTCAGCTGACCATTGGGTGCAGAGATTTAAGGACATGAATATCCTTGCCTAAACAGGTGGAAAACTCAATATATGTCACCAATAGCACTAAGGTGCACCACTATATTTACATCCACTCACCTACTGCAGTTGTCTCTGGAGAATTTTGAGAGTAAAAGGAATTCCAAGTTAACAAAAATCCTCTAAAATTATCATGGTCGTCTGTCACAAAAACCACTGTCATTACATTGCCAGTGGAGCGCACAGGTGGTGGGAGGCTAGTGCCACACCATTTTCCTAAGGAAGTTCCAGTATCTCGGCTTCCATCAAAAATCTATGGAAGAAATTAAAGTTTAAAAGTCTAAGTAATTTTTACTAGATATTTTTGGCAGGAGGGTATGCTAAAGTTACACTGAAAACATCTGTTTGGGTTTTAGAGACATCTTCATTCTGAATGATCATGAATTATATTAACCAAGAACTATCACTCTATTGTAACAAATGTATTGTTATACATAGCAAATAACTTTATAAATAAATACATTAGTGTAGCCTTAAATTAAATTATTAAATACCTCTACAAAGTCATATCTACAGTTTTGGCTCAACTCCAGCACAAACTCATTAAAAGTTACTTGAAGCTGTTTATCTTGGGATGTAATTATTGTCCAACTGCCAAAGACAACATAATTGAAAGTTTGCTTTAGAATATACGTAATATCATTTTAATTTATGTTGTGTACATCTTATATATACGATAAACCATTTCTGATCCATAATTGACATTGTGGCTTTAGCAAATATAAGTTAAAAGACTTCTAGCAATTTTGTTATGATACATACAGGTACGGCTGATAAAAATACATCAGTGATTACATCAATGTTAGTTTTTATGAATAAGTCTCTTACGTATAAAAACCAGATCCTGGGTAAATAGATGGATAATGAGGGGACGATATCTGTCCGTCATCACCAGTTAATTGGTTAGAGGTAGCTAAAAAAGAAAATTATAAAATTAATCCAGGCCAAAATTATTGTGGCACTTATCTTAATATTACAAATTTTGTTCCAGGCAACCTTGCAAGATGTGTAAATTATTATACAGGAGAATGAAAATGAACATTAAATTTTAAATAGTTCTAAAAACCAACTGGCTAGCTTACCAAAAAGACAATACATTTACAAACAGATTTTACAATTTTATTACCTGTTGTGGTGCAAAGTTATATTAAAGACATCCAATAGCCCCGGATTCCCCCCCCCCCTGCTCCCACGCCTAAGACCCAATCACTTCATATGTTAACATTTTAAGACTCCCCTCTCCACTTCAATGTGGATGTCATAAATGGATGACTCCCAGTCATAAAAAAGAATTTTTTGTTAAATCTTATAACTCATTTAATTTTGCTTTCACAATAGCAGAAAGACCTTCATAATCAATAATTAAAATGCCTCCCAAATAGAATATGTCTGAAAATACAGTAGCAAATCAGTAACACATAGGAGTAACATCCTAGATTATGAAAGACAGAGATTAATTTATTGGTTATAAATTATTAGCAGGCAGTATCATGTCTATAAAATATTATTTTAAACATACTTGCAGCCCATGAGCCTGCAAAGCCTTTCCCTGTATTTGCTTCATTTGTTCTAAAGATAACAATAGCACCAGCATAAGATGAGCTTAAGTTGAAAGGACCATTGTTTCCATACCATCTGCCAATATAGTTAGTTATTTCTGGTGCTCGTATTTCTACATAGTCATCATTGAAACCTCCATCAAGTTCAAAGTCACTGAAAAACATGGTTTTTAAATAGAACTTGAAAAATAGAATTGATTGTTTACATGGCAAATGCTACTTTAAATATTAAATATGATTTTCCCCGACAGGCTTATTTTTGACCTTGTGACTTAGTAGGCTGACTCTGAATAAATTTATCAGATGATTCTAGTTCTAGAAATTGCTATTTTTCTGACCTTATGTAATGTGTTTTCAAATGTGACTAATTAAATTACTCTCATTGCATTTTTAATAGTTTAAACACAAATTTGAAAACAATATATTTTTTACCATAGTAAAGTGCACTTAATGAGCATGGTTACCATTACAAAACCAGCAATGGGAAAATATCTTCAGGATAGCAATTGAAAACAATTAATATTGAAATTAATTCATGTAAATAAAATTTTAAAACAAATTCCAGCTCATGATAGAGAGTTAAAAAAAAACAACCAATTATCCAGAAATGACTAACTTTAGCTTTCAACAGCTGTATTTATGTTTTTTATGACATAAATTTTTTTCATCTCTACATCTACCACATTTGGTGGTTTTATACAGTCAGTGATTGATCTAGTTTGTCTACATTCACTTTCACACTTTACCGCATTAATGCCACATACATGAAAACACACACATATTTTTTAATTTTCAAATCAATGTGGAAAGTCAAAGGCTAAGTGTTAAAATTTTAAGTATTAAAATGTAACTATAAGTTTGAATTATTAGAAAAAACTGCATTTCCAGTATACTTGACGACTACTCCACAATTAGCCATACCTTATTAGGCCTAATGATAGCTTGACAGATGTCAATACTTGGTATTAACATTTCTTCTTCTTTGTTTTTAATTTTTAGTGTTGGAATAGATTTCCTCCAACACAATAAGTGTATGTGTCAACTGGTATGCACCATATAGGCCATTGACTGCAATTTCAGCCTGCTTTTCTTTTTGGATTCCATTGCGTTTGTCCAGCCAAGAACAAACTACAAGGCAGTGGTTGTTTGGTTTTGGAGTTGTCTCTCTTGAAGAATTGCTGTCCCCAGCTAACGAGCCTTATCTGCCTGAGGGTTCGACCGTGAGACTTATCGGTTTAGCTTTACCAACTCGACTCCCTGGTATTGTCATTTAAACGGGTACTATTTTGAAGAAACCACATGCTACATAGCTTTAACAGTAAAATAATTTTATAAATGTTTACCTCAAAACCCAAATTAACCAGATATAAAACATTATTAAGTCCTAAATTTTGTAGTATCATATTTGTTACACTAGAATTGTGTACAATCCTATTGAATTCACTATAGTATATTTGTATTGAAGCAACTTATATTGAACTGAGTGTAACTAAAGTAAAAGTTATCAATGGACACCAGCGAGTTGACGAGATTCCTTCCGTAATGTTGTTGACATGGAATAAAAATGTGCTTTTTTTAGATTTAGGACCATAAAACTAATAAAAGATAAAATTTTATTAAAAACTTAAGCCTAAAATTAATTAAGAAATGTAATATTTTTAGAATCAATGCTATACAAGTTGCAGATCCAGAGAACTTGAAAATAATTTGTTGAGTTTAAGGCTACATTTCTATTTATTTTCATCAAGCCTAAGTTATAACCCGATGTTTCACTTTCGTAAGACAAACATTGATTGGCTGTAAAGGAACTCCGTGATCGATTTCTGACAGCCCCACTTTATAGTTATTTTGTTTACAAAACTTTGCAGATCAAGTTTTTAAATAACTATGCAAATTTACACACCATGACCTATTTTTTCTATTTTTAGCTTACGATGTGTACAATAAAATTTATGGCGGCCATTGTTTATGTCGCCATTACACGTGAAAACCAAATTGTTTTTGCTTTTTTTTAAATTTTTATTTAGTTACCGAAAATATTAAAAACATCAAATACATCCAATCTTTAGTAAAGTCAAAAAAACCAGACAGACAGGATTTTATAACCATATTAATTGTAACTACGCCGTGCAAGATTTTTAAATGAATTTATACACCTCTCAAATACCTTTGAGACTTTTCTCGCTGGTGTCCATTGAGACTTATGGTAAGAACAAAGAAAAAACAAATAAAATAAGAGTTTTAAAAAAAGGTATCTTACTTAAAAGATAATGTCAGTGCATTTCCTGGTGAAGTTTTGAATACCCACTGACAATCAATATTGTTAGGGTAATTGTTAGGGTAGTTTGGACTTTGAAACTGTCCTGATATTGCTGTTATGTCATCACCACCACAAGCTGTTAGATATATAATTCCAAAATAGATATTATAATAACAAATTTGTTTGTCTAAACCCAACCATAATACAATAGACATTAAAGTGGACCAATGTATTTTGTTAAAGCAGTTTCAGCACTGAGTTACAGAAACATATATTAATTTTTTCAACACTTGAAAAACTAAAACAAGTGTATAAGAAAATAATTACTGATAACTTACAAGCAAGTGAAGATGAGTATACAGCCCTAAATCCATTGCCAGTACGATAAGAAGCACCAGACCTGAACACTACATAGATGGCAAAATCTTGAGAATAATAAGGTGCAGGGATGTTGTTTCCACAATATCTTGTTTGTTGTTGATTTGGATGAAGCTCAAGTGGTTCTGTGCCATCATTAACTGTTACATAACTTTGCTGGCAACCATCAACATCAGGTATATTCATGTAGGTAAATGAAAGATGAACTTTTGAAGCTGTAAAATTTTTAAAAAAATTATTTAGACACTTTTATTTAACTCGATTCCTTTAGCTTTTGTCTGTTCTGCTTTCTCCTTCATGGGTCAAAACTGATGAGCAAAATTTCAACCACTTTTAGCAGACCGATTTCTTTCAAACTAGGCACGTGGATCAAGACTCGGGGGACAATGCAATGTGACATCAAATTTGCCTTAATTGAAGACTTTTAAACAATTTGTTAAGGATTAAAAAGTACAAACTTTACAGCACATTCAATAGGTGTGTTATGATGTATGTTTTAGTAGATATTGAATTGAGTGCAGGTTGGTGCGAAGAACATAGTGAACACATTGGTATGATGGGGTAGAGAGTTGGTTGCAAGGAGTTTATGTGTGAGGGAGTTGAATCTCGATTGTCGGTGTGAAAGGTTGTGTGCTGGTTGGCATGACTCAAGTTGAGAGATAGGTTCTAGGAATATAGATACGTGAATACAGTAATAAAGATTTGTACAAGAAGTATTTAGTTCATCTTATTTCTAAACGTCGTTGATTTGTCTGAACGTAAGAGAACCTTAGTGGTTCTCAAGGTTTAATACTCTCTCCCTGGTATTGGAGACTAGCGAAATGGTAGTTGGCTGAGTCAAGTGACTCAAACCCTCTCACTGCACAGCCTAAGCATAACAAGGTGTGTAAGTCGTTTTAGCAACTCATGCTTTTCTTTTGAGTTATTTAAATAGTGGTGCATTATTACAAATAGAAAATTATTTATTTACTTCTTTTTGGCAGATAATTATATAAAAGTTCATTATAAAAAAAAAATTATTTTAATATTTATAGGTACCATAAATTATTTAAAGTTAATGCACATATAGGCATTACAATCATTTGTATAAGTTACATTAGCTTTGTCCCTAAAATTTTACCAACATATACTCTACATTTCATTATTGATTCTAAACTATTTGTGGAAAGAATGTGGACACAATTTTTATACAAAACATTTACCTATGGTAAACTGTGTCAAAAATATACATCAAGTTTGTTTGATTTCATACATAACTATAATCTATGGTTATTAATCTAAAAATCTCAAACAAAAAAAATGTTAAAGGAAAAAGGCTTCATATTTATAATAGATTGACGACAGAAGCCTGTGGTTGTATATAACACATTTAATCTGGTCTAACTACCACGATGGTAACACACAGAGAGGACTGGAGGAAGTAGACAAGGGACATCACTGAAGATAACAATATTATAAATATAACTAATACAGAAGAGTGAGTTCCCTTGACCTCACAATTATTTCAATCTATTACATCCCTTTACCCTTAGAACACAATAACACATCTCTCAATAGAACAATTGATAGTATCCTAAAATCACCAATTATATTGTAACATGAACATTATGGTAGATTACATCCTTACAAACAATGCACAATATGCCACAACATAATCAAGATACAACACAATGATGTCAAAGTCCTTTTGACCTTTAAAATCATAGGTCTAACTTATTTGGGACTTTGATTGTCCTGCTTGACCTTCTCAGTGGCTTCTGATTTGGTGACTCAAGATTCTGACCATCTGGACTCTCTATCTCAGGAGGTCTAGGATTTAAATCATTAACTCCAGAATTTACATTTTCTGACTCCAGACAACTTGGTTCACTCATATCAACAGAACTTGGTTGTGGAACAAACTGAGTTGGTGTGAACTGTTCAGATTTGGTGGGATTGATAGATTCACACTTATTATCTGCACAAGTTATTTTTACTTTATAAGACACAGGTCCTGTACATTGAACAATTTGACCTGGTATCCATTTTTCCTTTCTCCCATAATTTCTTAGATACACATTCTTATTAACACCAAATTCTCTTTCAATGAATGTCTTGTCATGATTTAATGGAACTATTTTTGAATTGGCATCTGAAAGTATTATGCTATTATTCCGATCCTTAACTGGCATAGATTTCTTTGATTGATCAATTTCTCAGGTAATCTGATAGTGCTTTCCTGGTAACCAAAAATACTGTTTAAAGTAATATCCTGGACAATATCACTTTGCAACTGTGATCCAGTATTTGAAGTGGGTGTATTAAATGGCAAAAATCCTTTTTCTTTTCTTTTGATGTTACCCTTTTAGTTTCTGTAAGTGCTAATGATGTTAGCAAAGTTGTTTGATGATCACATTCCTTCTTACTAATGTATTCTCTTTAAAACATTTGAAATTGCCATATCACCATAATCATTTATTAAGTTACAAATACTTTGTTTAGGCAACTCTGACTGATAATGGACTGCATCTTCTCCATCTTTTATATTATCTTCACAAAGGGTTTTTATTTCTTATTTAATATGGCTTTAAGTCCTCATTCACTGACTCTTCAGGCCAACCATTCTTACAGTACTCATATACTTTTATTAAGCACTCATCTTTTTGTGTTTCTCTCTTAATATCATTCACATTTATATTGGAGTTATCCATGATAGTGAAGAGAACAAAAACATCTTCTGGTACATAGCTCAGGCTTTGGTTTTTTAAAGGTAATCTACTAAGACTATCTGCACTATTCTCAGATCCAGGTTTGTATTTCAATTCATAATTGTATGCAGTTAGTGTGATAGCCCATCTTTGAATTCTTGGTGAGGCATGCTCAGGTAGGGTTTTGTTTTCTCCAAATAAACCTAGCAATGGTTTATGATCTGTAAAGATGGTGAACTTCCTACCAAACAGAAACTTATGAAATTTCTTAACACCAAAAATGATGCCTAAGCCTTCCCTATCTAACTGAGAATAATTTTTCTCAGCCTGATTCAAAGATCTACTGGCAAAAGCAATGGGTCTGTCACCCTTCTCATCCATGTGGGACAAGACTGCTCCTACACCATCTGGTGAAGCATCACATGTCAATACGAGTCTTTTCCCTGGGTCATAGTGAGTTAGTAAGGTGTCAGCAGACAAAGCCTCTTTTGCTGTGTTAAAAGCAGCTTCTTGTTGTTTACCCCAGTGCCAAGTTGCATTTTTCTGTAGCAGCTTGTACAGTGGTGATAGTTTACCAGACAGATTCCCTATGAACTTTGCATAGTAATTTATCAAGCCCAAGAAAGCTCTTAGTTGTTGGGTATTTTCAGGTTTGGGTGCTTCTTTAATGGCTTTAGTTTTCTCAGGTTGAGGTCTGATGCCTTGTTTGCTCAATATATAACCAAGAAAACTAATTTCTGTCAGCATGAATTGACATTTATCTTTGTTTATCTTTAAACCTTTTTCACCAACAATTTTCAAGACTTTATCAAGTGTTTTAAGATGTTCAGTGTCATTCTTACCAGTTATGTACACATTGTCAAAGTACACACAAACATTTGGAATATCCTTAAAAATACTGTCCATGACAGCTTGGAAAATTCCAGGGCTAGATGATATGCCAAAACATAGTCTTTCATATTGGTAGAGTCCTTTATGTGTGTTTATTGTCGTATAGACTTTTGAATCTGGATGCAGTTCTAGTTGAGTGTAAGCATGACTAAAGTCTAATTCAGTGAATTTGTCTCCTCCTGCCAAATTCAAAGAAATTTCCTCAATGTTAGGTATAGGGTACCTATTTAGCTCTATTTGCTTATTCAGTGTAGTTTTATAATCTCCACAAATTCTTATAGAACCATCCTTCTTTAACACTGGCACAATGGGTGTCGCCCAATCGGAATAGTCTACCTTCTTTATAATGCCATTAGATTCCAATCTACTTAGCTCATTTTCAATTTTATTCCTCATTGCATAAGGTGGAACTCTAGCTTTGCAGTATCTTGGATTTGTATCTTTAATGCTTAACTTCACTGTTCTATCATTTAGTAATCCATGATTACCAAAAACACATTTATTTTCAGATATTACTTTATCTAGTGAAGTAAGACTAGATTCTTTTACATTCTTCAATGAACAAATACTCTCCCAATTTAACTTAAGATCACTTAACCAGTTCCTACCTAGTAATGGCGGTCCATTTCCTTCAACCACAAGAAGAGGAAGTTTAACACTTTGACCATTATAACTCACATGAACCATACACTCTCCTATTACCGGAACATTGTCACCAGTGTATGTTGTTAGGCACTTGTGACATGGCTGTAGAGGCACTGATCCTCCAGTGACAGTGTCAAAATCTTTCTTTGTTATGAGTGTTAGAGATGCTCCAGTGTCAAGTTGGAAGCTGATGCTCTTACCGTTGATATTAACTTGTACATTGATGGGAGCATGACTTATTGATTTAACAGAGAACAGGTTGAAATCCGGCTGCAAATCAATTTGAGCATTTTCACAGGTAGAGTGGTTCATTGGTTGGGTTAGGTAGTCTTGGTGAGAGTTAACATAGTGCTGCCTTTGGTTGCGGTACTGTCTTGACTGGCTAGATTTAGCAACAGACGAAGACTTTGCAAAGCAGGCCTTAGCAATGTGACCTTGCTCACTGCACTTATAACAAGTTGCAGACTTGAACTTGCACCGATGAGATGCATGGGGACCTTTGCATCGATGACATTTTTGATAATTATTACTAGATTTAGAACTAGGATTTGAACGAGCAGGCTGTTTAGCATAAATTGGAATGCTCTGATGGGGTTGGTGTTTGTTGACTAACCTGCTGTTTACTGCATGGATCCCTGAAGGCGTAAGAGATTTCGCCGCATCTGATGACTGCTGGTATGAAGTTGCAAGTTGTATTGCTTTTTCCAATTTTAGATCTGACTCGAGCAGCAACTTTCTTTGAATATCAGGGCTGTTTACACCTGTCACAAACTTTTCACATAGTCTGTCAGACAGCGTATCGCCGAATTCACAAAATCTACTTAAATGACGTAAAGCAGCAACATATTCTGATATTGACTCGTTTGGTTGACGAGTCCTACTGTCAAATCTAGCTCGACATAGAAACTTTGATGGGGTAGGCGCATGGTGGTCTGTTAGCAATTTGCTCAGCTCGTTAAAGCTCTTGGTAGTTAGACTGGCTGGTGCGCATAAGTCTTTTAGTAGCCTAAATTGTTGAGGCCCTATGACTGTTAACAAAACAGCTCTCTTTTTGGCTTCTATCGTCACGTTGTTAGCTTCTAGGTAAAAGCTTAACCTCTCTAGGTAATCTTGAATGATTTCATCATTCGCATCAAATTCTTTTATTTGGCCATACAGCGCCATAATTCTAGAAATAATTAGCTAATAAGCTCTAGCAAACCTCTTTTTTGCGTAAGTAGGTGCTCTTTCTAGTAGATGTTTATCCTTCGTCGCCAGTTATAATAGATTGACGACAGAAGCCTGTGGTTGTATATAACACATTTAATCTGGTCTAACTACCACGATGGTAACACACAGAGAGGACTGGAGGAAGTAGACAAGGGACATCACTGAAGATAACAATATTATAAATATAACTAATACAGAAGAGTGAGTTCCCTTGACCTCACAATTATTTCAATCTATTACAATATTCACAAATCACCAACAAAAATCATCAATAAAAAATGCAATAAGTAAAAACTAAATTAATTTGGTGTTACCTTAGTTACTAAAGCTATTTGCTGGTATGACTAAAAATAAAAGCCTGGGAGCTTATAGATGAAAATCGAACATGTCTTATTTTATGTTATAGAACAAACCTATCAATGAATTCCTTGTGAAGGGAATATATTTTCCATCAGTGAGTGCCCAGGCTTTTATTTTTAGTCATATATAGCCCCAATAAGGTTACACCAAATAAAATTATTTTTTTTTACATTTAAGTGCATTTTTCATATGTGATTTTTTTTGTGATTTGTGAAAATGATAAGTCTTTTTTCTCAAAAAGAACATTTTTTAAATTTTTATCCCACTTTTGTAGTTTGTGATCACTTTAAAGTTGATCTTTCAAGTAGCAATCCCATCACTAAAATTGAGTTATCTACCACTAATTAGTTTGTACTCTACAAAATCAGCCAACCGTAAACTGAATTGAGTTCATCCATGACAGCCCTCTTATTATCAAGCGATAGCTAGTATTTTTTATTTTATCTTTGTCTCTTTGAATATAGTAATTTTTTAAATTGTCTATCTAATACGATTAAAACTTGCATTATCATCCAAGATCTTCCTCTGTCCCAAATTTCAGCTCAATTCAACAATGGGAAGTGGGTTAAATTAAAATTCCTAGAGCCACACACATACTGAGCAAGCTAAATAAAAGCCTTTTAAAGAAAGTTGATTAAGAGATAAAAGGATATATATATTTCCAAATTAAAAGATTAAAGAAGGTAGTGGTGTAGATAAAAAATCAGAAGAGAAGGAACATGATTTGGACATTTGAAGGTCATTGTCTTTCTGTAACAATTGTAACAGAACTACAACATTTACAGTTACATATTTATGAGTTTTTTTGGAGAATCCAAATTGACCTCTAACAAAACTTTGGCTGGCACTCTTATGAAAATGCATTAAAAAACTTACCAAGTGTAGAAGACCTGATAATCCAGATGCAAGTTGTATTAAATGGATACTGATTGGGATAAAAAGGAGTTTGTATTGATCCTCCCAAGTCTGCATTCAAAGTACCACCACAGCCTAAAAATATTGTTATGTCTTTAAAAATCGGAACATGTAAAAATTGCATTTAATCTCACTAAACCATTTATCTATATACTACTAAAAGTCAACTTTGTTTACATGTTTGAATATTTATTTGTTTGCCTGATCGAAAATTGTGATATGTTCGACTCTATCTGGAAAGCTGTAAAATGGTATGCAGGTAGAGAATAATTTTTTAATGCAGACAGACTGTTGATCACAAATTTATTTAAAGACGTTAATTAATTTATTGATTTATTCCTACGCAGAATAACCCATTTTTTTTTAAAATGTTAAAACCTTGACTAAACTTTGTGGGAATAGTGACGTCACAGGTTTTTGTTTACTCTTTAGTACAATAAAATGGCGGCGTCTATTGAAGAAAATTGTGTTCCCATTCAAAAGTTTAACGCGTTCTAAATCTAATTTTCTGTCGGTCATAACTTTAACAATACGTCCGTTTGCTGTATTTATTACGTTCCAACACTTATATCAATTTTCAACTGTCTTTTTCATTTAGTTTTACGATAAATTTCTCTAGATCTAAAGATCAGCTATCGAAGGAAATTTATGAATCTAGCCTAGATCTAGATCTAGCCTAGATGTAGGTCACTAGATTCAATGTAAATTCTACATCTAGAATCTATTTCAGACCTTAATTATTTTATATAAATCTTTGTTTGGCTTATTTAAGATAAAATTTAATTTGAAAGTTAGTACTACTAGACTTATTTTTAGATCTAGATCTAGAATCTATACGCGTAAATCAAGTTGCATAAGGAGACACATAGTATAGTATAAAAATTCACTTGTGACGTCACGAGTAAATAGCTAAAATGGTAGCGTAGTCAGCTCTCATGCAGGAGGCACGGGTTCTAGACCAATATGTCAATGAAATTTTTTTTTTAATTTTTTTTTTTTAGATGTGAATGATAACGTTGCCTATCTGAACTTGGCAAGATACAGGGCAGGTGAAGTAGAGTTCATCTGTTTCTTTGTCCTAAGCATATGAAAGGATAGTGTGGTCAGATACATGCCCGGCTGGAATTGTTTTTTAAACGATAAAAACATGTTGTCTGAGACTTGGCAGGACACTGGGCAGGTGAAGTAGAGTTGAGTAGGTCACCTGTGACGTCAGTTTATGAAGGGATAGTCCGAAATCGGTGTTTTCGGTGTTTTTAAAAGATAAAAAACATATATTTGAATGTGGGGTCTGTTTTTTGTGACGATAAGTGACACTGCAGTAGCGTCCCGAGGAGGGGGGGGGGGACGGTAGGGGAGGGGAGGCGGGGGGTGGGGAGGGGAGGCGGGGGGTGGGGAGGGGAGGCGGGGGGTGGGGAGGGGAGGCGGGGGGGGGGGAAGGGGGGGTGGGGAGGTGGAGGGGGGAAGGGGGGGGGGACATATGTTGGGGCGCCAAAATGGTTTGGAAAAATAAATTGATAGGTTGAGGGGGGTTCAAATCAAAAGTTTGAGTGGGGGGGGGGTGCACATCAAAAGTTTGAGGGGGGGGGGGGGTTCAAATCGAAAACTTTGTCCCCGGGCGCCGGGAAGGGTCGCTATGCCTCTGAGTGACAGACGTGATGTTTTTTGATGGATGACCCCCGAAACCCACAGTTATCCAACGGATGACGGGTATTCTAGTAGATACTAAAAACAACTTTAAATTTACAATAAACTGAATGGCAAATAAAGTAATTGTTCATAACTTATTTTTTTATTAGGCCTACTCTACTCAAAATTAAAATTTGCAGCATCATGTAATTATAAATTGTATGTATGACTATAGGCCTATTTACTCATTTTTTAACCATGTTTTTATTAATGCTTTTATCAATATTTAATACTTTATTTATACATGTCTTAGTAGTTTTTATATTACATATTTTTATTTACAAGTAAAACAAACTACTCAACATACTTTTAACAGTTTTAGGGAATTGATGAACAGAATCTAATACCTGTTATATATTGGGCTCTAAAGCCTCTATTCTTAACTCCTTGTAATGACAACATGCGAATGGACATTTGATTTCCAGTTGATCTGTACTCTGTCTGGTTTGGTAGTTGATTGTCACAAAGCCTTCCAAGGGAGACTTCATTTGAATCGATTACATCAAAGATCTACAAAAGATGATGAGATATATCTCATTTCCATATAGGAAGTTTTCAGTAGCATTAATGCAAACGCACAATGACAATGCTTGCCTGCATAAGGATTACCTTGTATCCACAGTGCATGGACACACCACAATGAAAAATCATGAGTACTTGCTTGTTAAAATAATTAGAGAGCTGCTCAATGTATAAGCAACATCTTAATATTCTGTTATTGACCTCTTCATGCCTCAATTATGTCCCAGCATGTAAAAAATTATTTGTGCTGATTTACTGTCATACTGACACTGGATTTAAGGTATATTATCGTTTTTAAATTTGGACTTGTCACTAATTTGCAATATCAGGCACTATTGGACAAAAGAGTTAAAAAAATTGTAGTCTGGGTAATTTTACTATTTTTACCAACACAGGTTTCTCTAAATATCTATGCACAAACAATAGAATATCACAAGCTAAACATATGGACATGTAAGCAGGTGTAGACTCACTTGTAAAATTCATGAAAACTTTGAATCATTGCTGATAAGGTTCTACTGTTCTACAGTATAAAGATACATATGAAAGTGACTTAGTTGTCACTGGTACGCCCTTATTGTGAACTCCTATTCAAAAAGTTCCCTTTTTAAACCTGACGGCCTATAGGGCAAGTGAAGTAGAGTTCACTTGTTTCTGTGACCTCGGCATATGAAGTGAAAGTGTGGTCAGCACTATGCCCATCCGCCTTTACTTTCCCTAACATGAGATAGGTACCCATCAGAGTTGGTTGGACTCAGGGACAGTCTACTGACTTGAACCCGGATTCGAACTCGAGACTTACGGGTTAGCAGTCCAGCTCTTTACCGCTAGGCCACTCCGTCCCATGAACTCCTATTCAAGGTCAACTAATAAAGATGCATATTTCTCATTTGACCTATATTTGCTATACACACAAAGCACATGAACAAATATTGTTCTAAATGACAATGTTCTGCCATTGTATATTCTTTCATGCTCAATGTAGCTGCTGTGGGTACTCTGTTCCACTGGCGTGGGGACTCACTGCTATTGTTGTTGGTACCCAATGTTTCTGTTTTTAGTACTACATGCTACTCCTGTGGTACTTGAATGATACTGCTATGGATACCCAATGACAGTGCTGTAGCTACATAGTGCCAATGTTGTGGGTACTCAGTGTTGAATCAGTGGGCACTGAGTGCTGAAACCGTGTGTACTGAGTGCTAAAGCTGTGGGTACTCAATAACACTGCTGTTGGTACTGAATGCCAGTATCTTAGAAACTTTGAATTTACCAATCTGCTTAATTAGACTATTAAAAATAATTTTCAATTACTTATTTTTATTTTATTTTAAAAAAAAAAACCCAACACAAATGTTATAAAAATAAGTAAAAATCCATGGAAAAATTTCATAGACTCACGCCTCATATTTTCGTATTCAACAAATAATATCTTGTTTACATTTAACTTATTTTGTTGTGACAGATCACATATACCATGTTTAAATGAAGATAACTAGCTTAATAATTGAGATTCAGAAACATATTACTAAAAAAAATACTAAAAGTTAAAGAGCAAAGGAGTTCTAAAGAAGATCTAGGTGTTTGTAAATTGCGAGGAAGACAAATTATGTCATATCTGGAGTTTAACTTCTATTTTTATTAAAAATTAAAGATGGCTTGATAGTACAGGAAAACAAAAATGTTACTGTAGTATTAAAGAAAAAAATTGATTAAAACAAAAGGTTATAGTTATGGGTAAATGACAAAGAAAAACTAGAGCTTCAATATTGAATAAATTTTAAAAAAAGGAGAACTTCAAAATTAAAATTCATTAAATTAAAACATTTTAAAATGTTTATTTTGTTTTCACGATAAAACAAAATTTTATAAAATTTATATTGTACATTTTTAAATGCATGTGATAATTATTTAATAACTTGTAACACGATCTATTACCTTCTTTTTATGTCTTTCTATTTAAAAAATAATTCAGTATATGTCTGCTCTTTCTTATTAAATTGTTAAAAATGATAAGCTGAGGCAGATTTCTTTTATATAACCGCCTAGAAAATATTCAGTTTTCATTTTATATGTGGTTACAATTTAGTGGAAAATAATTGTTCAAAAAAGAAATCACAATATACTATTTTAATGTTACTTTTATTCAATTTTTCAACATTTATTAAAAGAAACAAACTTTTTTGGATATAAAAGGACTTAACTGTACAGGAAGAATCGAATAGCCAAATTTGCAGCCATAGTTTTTCTTTAAAAAAACATGAACTAGTTGGTTGTATGGATGATATTTTTAAAGTAAAACAATTTTGTAATCACTTACTTCTACATAGTCATTGGGGCAATTCCCCAGAGCAAAGTCTGTAAATGTAAGAACAACATTATGTCCTTCTCCAACAGTTATCCTCCAGTTACATATTGAATTGCGGTCATAATTTTGTGGGTAGTTCTTAGACATTATTGTAGCTGTCATAGCAGAAAAATTTCCACCGCATCCTGAAATACATTGTAAGTTTTGCAATGGTTTTATAACTTTTAAAAAATCATATAAAGTCATCTTAGATGGTTTGTTTTGGTTTATATTAAGATTTATAATCTGCATTTTTATTTTTTAAAAGGGAGGTTAATCAATATGTAGAATATATTAAAATGAATTAACATATTCTCATTTACGCTCCATTTGATATTTTTGCATTCTAAAGGAAATATATATATATATATATATATATATATAAAATGATGCTTTTTTACCTCCAGGTATTGCCCTGTATGTAGCATTGAATCCATTTCCAACAAATGATTCATCACTCATAAACTTAATAAGCAACTGGTTTCCATGTGATGTGATGATTTGGTTTGATACTGAATGACATAGCTGAGTAAGAAGTGGGCCTTGATCACTTCCACCTTCAAAAACCTGAAAAATAATTAATACAAAGTATTGAGAAACAAACTGAAACTTTACCTTCAACAAGATGTTCATGATGTACATGATGGGATGTAGATCTATATGAGTATAATAAGATGAGCTGTTCTATGCTAAGAATGTCCCTTGATATATATTTGAGAGAACATTTATGTACATGGCTGTAGGCCTATTTAATTATAAATATCAAAGTTTATGTACAATTTTTAAAAATTTGTACCAAAGTGTGCATAAAATATTTTACTAAAATGTCGGCCACATGTCGAGAACTTTGCAATTCCAAATAATTAAAGTAGTAATCCTACATTATTTAAAATCTTAAATTCATAAAAAGAAAAACCTCAATTTTCAAGTAAAAAAATACTGCTATTCTTGATGATAGCCCACTAATCAATTGAAAACAAACTTAATTAAAACAAAGATGTATAATACAGTTTATTTTTTTACCTTCACGTAATCATATTCACAGCGATCATGAGCTTCTAGTTGAAATGTTGGAAACGTAAGTTCAATTGCCTGATCCAAGTTAGCAATAATTTTCCATACACATTCAATGTTTCTGTTATAAGGATTTGGGAAGTTTGGACTGGTAAAGGTGCCCGTAGGATCTTGCAATATTCCTCCACAGCCTAGAAATTTTAAAATAGTGACAATAGATGTAAATTATATTTCAACAAAAATGAATTTATAAAAATACACCATCAGCTGCACTGCAAAACACAAACCAATATCCTGTTAGGCCAACCCCACCCTTTATAAAGCCTTTTAACCCCAAATGAATCTCTGACTACCCAATCCTTTAGGGACATCCATTTATGATGTGGGGGCCATAGGGAAGATGATTTTTGTTAATGCTTGCAACAGGGAAGGATAAGGTTGGCTTAGTGGTAACTTCCACACATCAAATATAAAATTTGCTAATTAGAGGACAAAGGAAGGGGTGGGTTATATAGTGGAAGACTCAAACCGAGGTGTGCAATGGGAATTGGGGAGGGAGTGGGCATTTTTTAACTTTCCGCTTGACTGAATAATCGGAATTCTTATTTTTAACCCCCCCCCCAACTTTATTTATTTAATTTATTTAATACTTAAACTGATTTATTGCCTAAAAAAATTCCAAAAAAACTATTTTATTAAGTGGGTTTTCTTTTGGGGTTTTAAAAACTTCTTTTGTTCTCTTTTTTTTTTTCTTTTGCCAACAATAAGTGATTTTTCTGAGGTCCGTGCCTTCATCAGTAAATAACATGAATATAAACATTGATTTCTTTCTCGAATAGGAAGCTCTTTCAAATTTTTTTAACCATGCCACTACAGTCTTATCATTATTTAACATATAGCAGAAGGCCACAATGGAATTTACTCCACTGATATCTTTAATATTATTTTCTTCGATACTTGTTGAATCAATGTGGAGATCATTTAAATTGTATGTCAGTTTACGTGATTATTTTAAATATTGAACATAGTCATGTTCATTTGATTTCCATTATATTCATGCTATTCTGAGAAAGTGTTTTTTGTATTATTGAATTTTAAATAAAATTTGAGATAAAAACTATGTTATAGGTATTTAAACAGATGACCAAACCCTTTATTTACTGAGGTCATGGAAAGAGGTGAACTACTTAATTTGCCCTATTGACTGTCAGGTCTGACAAGCCATTTTTACTTCACTTATGCCCTGCATTGAAGTATTATTTTATTAATGAGCTCCAGAAAAAATCAAACTATTTTTTAATGCAAATATCTTAATATAAAGCATAATTTAAAACTGATATAATAAATGATTACCAATGAATGCCCATTCAAGTCTAAATCCACTATAGACAATTGATCGATCAGTGATGAAATTTAGCTTCAGAACATTACCACTGGAGTTATAGGACTGTGGTATAGTGTTTCCTGTAAGGCGCCTACTTTGAGAAGAGTTTTGAACATCTGTAATCTGAAAGAGTCAAGCATGTATATAAATACAAAATTAACAATAATATACAACTTTAAAATTATGAAATACTACACCAGTCTTTCTTAGTTATATTATAGATAAATATATATATTATGATATATCATATTTTACAAGGCATAATATATTTTACATTATGACATTTGTCAGCTATGTATTATTACATATTATTTACATATATTTCTAAACTGTAATGTTAGTAAAGCTATACCAGAGTTCTTACAAATTTGATTTTAAGCATTTTCCATACCAAAACTGAAAGATTACAAGACTTAAGAAAAGACAATGTGGAAATGTTAATCTAAATTTAATTGTAGTAATTGCCTTATGTTCATTTATTTTGGAAGGTATTGGTGTTTTATTTTATGATAGGGGCTACTAGAAGTTAAGATTTGTCCTTGAACATCAATACACAATTTTTACCCCCCCCCCCCCCCCTCTTGTCTCTACTCTATGACAACATTACTCTCAAATTTCTTTTCTCTACTTCTCTCCCCCATACGTCTGGGCAAAACAACATCAACTTTGTTATAAACCTTCTATTGTTTTTTAGGAATAAAGTCATAATGAATGGATACCCAAAACAAAGTATATTTTATTTATTGTCTAATATTTTGCTCGAAGCTCAAGAGGATGGCCGGTGGCTTGGGAGAGTACAAGGTAGATATACCAAAAGTTTGTTAGACCTCTGGGGAAATGAGGTTAACTGAGGACAGCATCCCATATAATGTTAGTACAAAAAAACTCTGAAACCAAATAATGCTGCCTTGCAGGTGTTCTTGGTTGAACTAAGTCTATAGAAGCACATCCAGAAAGAAAATCAGAATGAAGCTCTTATTTGAAAACTTTTGCCTGTACCGGTATCATTGTACTCTTCCTTAGGCTGACTTGCAGTTTGACACACTCTTTTTCCATCAGTTAATGGATCAGAAAGCCAGTAAAACTATTTAACTCTCATGAGCTTATGTAGTGCTTTAATTTCATTACCAGTATGCCTATAGATAATTGTAACAAGCAGCCACTTTTCCTCTTAAGTCAACTAACAATGTGCAGCATTCATTTAATCATGTATAAATATGGTCCTCTAGTTCAGGGGTCTCCAAACTTTTCAGCCCGAGGGCCGCATTGACTATCAAAGTTCAGTTCGGGGGCCAGTTTCTTCCAGACATGTCTTTGATTTTTCTGGGAAAAGTTCCTCAGCTATCACCAACAAATGTTTTTTGCGTGGACAAAAAGATCTCCGCGGGCCGGATGAGAGGACCTCGCGGGCCGCATCCGGCCCGCGGGCCGTAGTTTGGAGACCCCTGCTCTAGTTCAAGGTGAGTTGATATTAACCATGAATAGTAATGTGAAAAAAAAATGAAGAAACTGATAGTAATTCTGTACTTGCCTTTATAGTATTAAAGTTTTTAAAAAATTATTTCAAATTTAGTTTCCAGAATTTTCCAAACATTCCAGACTAAATAAGCCATGTATAACTGATTATATTTAAAAAGAAAACATTTATTTTATAACAAACCTGAAGGTAGTCATGGAAATTTTCCAAATAAAATGTAGCAAACTCCAAATTTATCTTGTTCCCTTTATTTACTTTAATGAACCATGTACAATTTAAATTGTTGAGATATGAATTAGGATAATTTGGACTTTCAATGACACCCCCAAATCCAGTAAAGTTTTTGTTACAATCTAGAAAAAAAAAAATTATGTACATAATTATAAGTTCTAAATTGTAAATATAAAAATGGCTCAGAAATCAATACAATTTAAAATTCATTAAAATAAATTAATACTAAATTCACTGCAAGGCTATTTAAAAAGCAACGAGTAATATATTTTATAAATTTGACTTTCATAAATTAAAATACATTTAATCAGCTGAAATTATCTATTTTAATAGAACTGTGTTACAAACATTACATTAGCAAGTAACTTGACCTACTCTTTTTAGTTTTGTTATCAAAATTTCATATATGTGTAATGTAATTACCATTATTTTGCTAAACTGGCTTTGATATTAATATAATTACAACAACAGATGCTTAGTGTTAGTTGCACATTTTCAAATTGTAGTTTTTACTTGTCCAAAAAGCTGAGTATATTGAGCAGAAGTTAAGTTGTGAATAACATGTTAAAATTATATAAAATTGTTGATACATTCCTTAAAAAACTGCTACATATAAAGAGAATGTTACTTCATACCAAATCAATTTAATTCTAGAGAAATACAATATTCATCCATATAAAAAGCTTCGATGAGCCAATGGACATTGATGCCACTTTTCTAATGCCAGCCATGTGTTTAAATGGGATGAACTGCAGCAGACAACACATTTTTTAAATATAGTGAATAAATGTCTGGCATTAAAAGGCAACATCTTAATTTCATTAAGTCAACCAATGTAGGCTGGTTTAAATAAAATCCACTCACTTGTAAGATACTGTAAACTGAATCCCCTGCCTTCTATGTATTGGTCACTCTTAAATTTTATCCACAGCTTGTTAGACTCAGTGTAAATGGGATGAGGAAGGGTGCGGCCACAAAATTTACCAAGCATTTTTCCTGTTTCTCCTTCTTCACGAATCTGTTTTTATATACATAGAAGAACAAAGGAGGTGCATGGAAACATATAGCATGCAGCAAAGTTTAAATAGTTTATGTTAAATAGTTTTAATAAACAAGTGACTATAAAAACGGAACAGATAATATAATAAATGTAAACTTTTTCTGTCAAAAAATGCATAGAGGTCTTAATTAAATAGCACATAAAAATAATACAATGTAGCATTATGTAAACATACCATAAGGTAATCATAACGACAAGAATAAGAATTCTCCAAGTCAATTTCAGCAAAAGTAATGATAATTGAATTTCCTTGTGCAACAGTAATGGTCCATATACAATCAGTGTTATGTGCGTAACTCTCTGGATAATCAGGGGAAGTAATTGTTCCAGTTGGTGAATTTAAATCGCCATAGCATCCTGAAAATTATTTAAAATAACAATACAAATAATATTTTTCCAAGATTTACAAGAGTTACAAGATTCGCCACAAACTCACAATCAAACAAATTAACATACAGACGTTGCGAATTAAACAAAAGGTTGTAAAGAAGGTTTTGTCACGAAATCAGTATCTACAGTGAGTTTACTGTTCCAATAAGGAAATTGTATGAATTGATTAACATGACTGAAAAAGTATTCTTATAGTCCTATAATAAACGATTAATAATTCAATGCACTAATAAGCAATTATTTAGTATTTAAAAGTGAATCAACAAATCATCAGACTAAAAAATGAATCTAAAACTTAAGTAACAATATTTTTAGGAAAACATAAATCTAACCCAAATATTAGAAAACTTAATGATTATTATGAATTGAGATATTTTTAATGAAGCTGACCTGAAGCAGAGCTACCATACTCTAATCGGAAACCTGGATGTGTGACTGTAGCATCGGTTTTAAACTTCAGATACAAACGATTGCCATATGAACGTATAAGAGGAACAGCTTCCTGATAGCCACATAGTTTGACCTTTAGTGGAGAATTTGCAGAGCCCCCATCTCTGAAAATTTTTTGAAATTTTTTTTTTTAAATTTGAAAATCCTCAACTTAAATTATTTAACTCCTGATTTACCAGACTAGCAAGAAATGAGAACTGATTCGTACCTTATTTCAAGGAAATCCCAATTACAAGTATCTGATGGCTCCAGATGAAAAGAAGTAAAGTTTAGAAATATTTGGCGTCCTCTTGGAACTGTTATAGTCCACTCACATTGTCTATGATGAGGATAGTTTTGTGGAAAATTTGGTGAAGTAATCTCACCAGAAGTTGCTGTCAAAGCCCCACCACAAACTGTAAAATGTTTTATAGATATGTTAACAAAAACTGATCCAAAGATGCTAATAATATGTAAATAACAACAGATACACAAAAATAACAATTCCAATTGTGCTTGTGATGGCAGTCAATAATCAACAGAATTTATATTATTAATTTTAAAACATATTGCTTTTTCTAAAAATTATGAGTAGCTCATCTCTTTTCATTCAGTTTTTATCTTTAATTCTGAAAATATTTTAAACAACCAATGCCTCAACTGTAATAAAAATTAATGTAGAATTTTTTTTTAAATTCCTCCATGTTATTGGATGTGTAAATCCATGCATAGTGTAAAAAATTCAAACAACAAAAAAAAACTTTTTTTAATTATCTGTAGGAACCAATATGGCAAACTATGAACAATGATAAACAAACTTATTGTCTTTCAACAGCAATACTAATTTTAAAAGTATAGTCAGTAATTCTAAAAACTCAAGATGCTGCATGCCCTGACCCTGACTTTCATATTGGTAGAAATAAAAGCTAATTATATATTCTAAGACAAAAGTAACAGAACCTGACATAATTTAAAATTAAATCACTTACAAGTACTGGTATTCAAAGCCACAAAAGAAGCATAGAAACCATCATAAGCAACACTTGAATCTGTAATCATCACAACAGTTAAATAGTTTTCAGATGAGGTAATCACAGGAGGTCTTTCACGGCAGAATCTGAATTAAAACAAACATTTTTAAACTGTGTATAAAATGATTATCTAAGATATAACAAAACCTCTTGAGTGCCAAAGTGACACGGCTTACTTTTTTTTTTGCATGTATAGTGAAAAGAGGTAGCTTGTCTTCCACCTAAAATATGGGCCACAGACAAGAGCTAATTTTCTTTTATAAATTTTGCAAGGACCAAACTTTTTATGCTGGTAGTCTAAGTGTGTCATAGTTCTTCACAGGTAATTGTACTGGGCCAGTTTGATCTTTTGAGGCAGGTGTTTATAAATGCTCATATATTCTCTTTATTTAATTCAGTGGGTCATGTCCCTTGATTTATAAAGATTTACTGTTTAATGGTCAGTGTATATAATTGAAATTCTTATGTTGACCATAATGCAGAAATAGTATTATATTATATTTGATAATTTGAAAGAAGCTTAGTTTTTACATTTCTATTTAAGCATAAAAATTGTGTGAGAAAGCCCTAAAACAAATAATAGTGTAATAAAACATAATTAGCATAACAAAGCGCACAAAAAATAGTTTAACAGAAACAATAAATTTAATAACCTTCCAAGAGATGGTCCTGTTGCTGTGATATTATCATAAATTTCAATGTAGTCATGGCAAGTATTATAACCATGCTCAAAACTGAATGTATGAAATTCAAGTCTCACAATATGCCCCTGGTCAACCATTATGTACCATGTGCAGTTGATGCCATGAGGATAAACGTTTGCTTGCACAGGACTCCTAATAATGCCAGAATTTCTATTTAAAGTGCCACCACAGCCCATGGATGCTGAAAATAATAGAAAAAAATAAAGTAGGAAAACATTTAGCCTACAAACATTTATGTCGAGACTATATTCATAACATAAATTTTTGTAATTGTTATCACATTACTATTTGTTCGAATTCTTTTCATATTAAGATTTTTTAAACATATAGCTTCAATAAACTTTTTACAAACAACAGCAGATTACGGGATTGTGTGGCCAGCAATGTCTAGCCACCATGCACATTTCCTTCATAAGAGAAAAACTGATTCCTTCCATTATGTGGTGACATGAAAGATGGGCGGTGGCAAAATGCGCAATGGGAAAACTGCACACAAAAAGTAGGCAAGGGCATTTTTATTTTCTTAAAGTGAGCATTTATAGACCATAATAAAGATTGACTACAAGTACATTGTTGCATAATAAAACATATGACAAAATTAAAGCGTATTACTATTAGTATAATTTGTATTTGCACATTTTTCATTTTTCTGTTTGCTTAGTTTTCTGTTTTGCAGTTTTCTGATTGCATATTTTTCTGTGAACCATTTATTCATGCACCAAAAATGCATATTTTAATAGTTTGTTCAGCTGATATATAATTTACTTTTTAAAGTATTTTATTAAACAGCAAGTCTCATTATCATTTTCCCCATTTGTGCCAAAGACACATGGGGCTGATGAAGTAGAGTGCATCTGTTTCAATGACCTCAGAATACAAGGGGGAAGTGTGGTCTTTGTTTCCATAACATGAGTCAGGTACCCATCTGAGCTGGGTGGACTCAGGGACTTCCTACAGACTTGAGTCCAGGATCCAAAATTGAGACTTGAGGCCACACTGTACCTAAACAGCTAGCCTGAGTTGCTAAAATTATTTGTTTTTATTTATTAATTTTGCAATAAAGTAAAGCAAAAAAAAAATGTAATGTTTACCTCCCCCATCATCAACCATACTGTAAGTAGCATGAAAACCAGCATGTTGAACGCTATCATCTGTTACAAATTTAACAAACAAAGCATTTCCAGTGGATCTAATATTGACAGGTGTATTTTGTCCACAATATCTACTACCTAGCAGAGGTGCAGTTTCACTGGAGCCATCACGTATCTGTAAAGATTAGGTTTGATAAAACATTTTAAAATAGATGTAGCAATTTCAGGAACTGGATCACAATGCATTCTAATTTAGGATTACTTTAATAATAAAGTTAACTGTTTTATTTGTGATAATTCATTAAGACTTTTTTAAATGTGATTTTATAAAGAACTATATATTTAAAAAACATATGTGAAGATAGCATATAAAATGATTTTGAAAGTATTTGAAAAGTTAACAATATATATTTATTTTAGTAAGGACACCTGTGCTATTGAAAATGATGTTAAGGATTTTTCTTGTTTTGTTATAACTATTTAACTGGATTTCTATGATGAGGCATTCAAATGAGACCCAAACATTTTTTTTTTTAAAATAGTCATAACTCTAGAAAAAAAAGTTTAATCAGTATATACATTAAAAAGCATAATTTTTCAATGAGAAATGTTTAAAGCAGCTTAGTCACCTCTAAATAATCATATGCACAGCTAGAGTCAGCCTCTAAAACAAAAGAATCAAATGTCAGCAAAACATTTTGTGAATCCGAGGCTTGGATAATAAATGAGCAGTCAGCACTAGCATGATAATCTCCAGGCCATCCAGGAGACTGTATACTGCCTGAACTATTTGTATATACACCACCACATTCTATAAAACAAAAAATAGATGTACATGTTAAAGAAAATACAATAATTATTTTATGAAAATTTCCTCTTAGAACATGAATGGTATGTAGTGCAGATTACAACCTCAAACAGCCAGTTTGATTTATTAGGGAGAGAAAACAAAAACTTTGCCCAGAACCCAAAAATATGTGCTTTTAAAACCCACCGCGTATCTTGTGTACATAAAAGTAGGGTAAGTCCTTCATATATATTGTGTCAAGAAGATGCATTAAATCTCTACATAATATCCTGCATACATATATGCAGGGTAAAAATAATCTCTGCATATGTCACAAGCGTAAACGTATTGCAATTCATATTTTAAGTAACAAGCTCACCAGTTGTCCATTGTATTCTAAAGCCTGCTCCAGAACTTGTTTCATCAGACCTGAACTCTATATAGGCCACATTGCCATTAGTTTGAACTGCAGCAGGCTGATTGCTGCCACAGTAAACAGCTAGTAAATCACCCATGTAATTCTCACCATCTCTAATCTGATAAAGATGAACAGTCAACTATTACAAATACACTATGGCAAAACAGTTAATAATGTTATTTATAATTTATTATTACGTTTATTGCTCAAGCAAAGAAATCTGCCATCATTAAATTAATGTTTGAAAAAAAATGAAAGATTTACTATATAGCTTGCTATTAGTTACTAATTCTATAGAAGTTTGAAAAGTAATTTTTTCTTATCACAATTTAGACAAAAACCATTTTTTTTTTGTCTTGCTGAATATTCTGACCATAGGTAATCATAATAACAACAAAAAAAGAAGCGGTAGATGGTTTTACTAACTGAAATCCAAGCAATTGAGAAAATGAAAAAAATGCTAACCATTAGATAATCAGAACTGCAACCTGCTGTTGTCTGCAAGTCAAAAGCTAAAAAGGTAAATGAAATCCTGCTGGTCGTAGGGCGTCTGATGACCCAACTACACATTTTTCCATGAGGGTAATTATTTGGATAATTAGGTGAGCTTATCACTCCTGTTTCACTAGTGAATGTTCCACCACAGGTTGTATCTAAATATGTAAAAAAAAACTATCTTAATTCAAAAGCTGTTAAATGTGCTAGGGTCTCAATAATTAGTCTAGAGAATCGACAAGAATGTTCATTAATGTGATGTAAAAAGTTTAATTGAAAAAAAATAAAAAAGAATATCTCTTTTGAGAATAAAACAGATGTTATTAAGGAGCCATATAAATGAAAACAAAACATACCAATAGAAGAGGAGTATGTAATGGAAAAACCTTGGCCATTTTCACTCGGATCACTATGAAATCTAATAAAAGCATTTGGACCACTTGTCTGGATGGGAGGAGGTAAACCTGTTGTCATCCCACACAGTCGTTGTAAAACTGGTGCAGAATCACTAGCCCCATCATATATCTGTTAGATAGTTAAAATATTTATTAAATTTTTGCACATGTTTACCTCAAGTAATTATAAGTATGAAACACCAGTTTTTGTTTTTGTAACTTTAAAATAGAAACTCCAATAAATACACATTTTTAATAATTGTGCTAATAATGATTATATTATAAATCTTACATTTGATCATTTATAATTATATAAATTAACAAGGACCCTGAGTACCTCAACAGCTAATTAATGCATACAACATAAGCTATTTGAAATAATAAACAAATATTTAACAACATAAAGTTTCACATATAAGGCTTGTAAGTAGGTCATCAACTTCTCATTCTAATACTTGCCTGTAACATTTTTCAAACAAAATGTCAATATTTTTATAAAAAATGTACTCCACTATTGTGTTAAAGTTATTTAAAATCGAAAACAAAAGATATAGCCTAGTTTAGAAAAAAATAGCCTACTTGAAATTGTGATTTTTTTTAAACTAAGTGTACAGTTTGATATTATTTATTTAAATCTGTAACATAACAAGTTGTCCTAAATGTAGTTACAATATTAATACAATATTATTAATGGCCCAGGCCTACAGTTACTTAATTTGATTCTATTATTGGTAAAATTTCTATAATTGTTGCATTTTGGGTACTTATGGTATTTTTAAAATTTTGAAGCACAGGCGAAAAACAAATAGCCACCATTTTTTCTTGTTATCAATGGGAATTATGTTCAAGATCATTAATTTTGTTCGATTTTAAATTTTAGACGAGAGAGACCAAGATTTACAAGCCTTACTGTCATTCTTGAAATTGTTCATAAGCCTCTGTCAATAATGTCTTTTAGTTTCTAGATACATAGAAAAATTAAATTGTTAACATTCTCTGTTCTTAACACCAGTGAAATAATAAACAGGGCCTTTCACACTATTCAGTCCCAAAAGTAGGCTTATTATTAACAGTAGTAGACTTTTACCTCTAGATAGTCATATCTACAGTCAGGATGCTGTTCAATGTCTAATGAAGCAAACTGGAATGATATTGTATATCCTGGCTGCACAGATATAATCCAACTGCAGTTACTGTTATGTGGGTAGTTGTTTGGATAATTGGGGCTGTTAATTGCACCATGATCACTACCACTGAATGTTCCCCCACAGGCTGAAAGAAAATAATTTTTTTGTACATTTATAATACAACTTTAAAAAATAAAGACACCCATAAAGGGGTTTGTTTTGTATAAAATTTAGGGGTCGGCGTGGTCGAGTCGGTAAAGCTCATGGTTGCTAAACCGAAAAGTCTCGAGTTCGAACCCTCGGGCAGATGAGGCTCGTTAGCTGGGGACAGCCACTCTTCTAGGAGAGACAACTTTAAAATTAAACAACTGCTGCCTTGTAGTTTGTTCTTGGTTGGACAAAGGCTATGGAAGCAAATCCAAAAAGAAAAGCAGGCTGAAATCGGAGTCAATGGCCTCAATGGCGCATAACCAGTTGACACGTAACGCTTAATTGTGTTAGAGGCGTGGTCGAGTCGGCAAAAAGCTCATGTTTGATACATTCGAACAAAGTCTCGAATTCAAACCCACTGGCAGATAAATCTCGATCCCCTTCAACACTAATAATTAAGAACGAAAAAGAAAAGAAGTATAAAATTTAAAATTCTTATCCAACCTACCAGGCTGTGCTGATGTCCAGGTGAGGCTAAAACCATAATGTTCTACGGAATAATCAGATTTGAACCAGATGGACAACTCATGTTGAGTACTGTTAATTAATGATCCCCCATTGGGCAGCTGAAGGCCACAGTATCTACCCATAAACCTTGAGGAAGTTGTTGGACCATCATTTAATTGTAGAAAATCATGAATACAATTATCATGATGTTCCATACTGAAACTGGTAAATGTAACTTGCACAATCTGAAATGACACATAATGAATGATAATGTGGAACACTTCATAATGTGAAAGATTTCATGTGATTACATTATGATAAACAGAGAACAAAGACATTTGAAGTTGGAATGCAAATGAACAAAAGTAATGTCAATTTTTTTAACTGTAAAATTATTCTTTTAATTAGCAAACTATATTAGCCATTAAGCTTACCTTATCTACTGTTGTTGAAATAACCCATTTACAATCTGCATTTGGTGGATAAGAACTGTTTGTTGCTGGATATCTTAACAAACCACTTTCTTGCAGCAACCTCCCACCACATACTATAAATATAAAAGTTCTATTTAATAGTGAGCTACTACTTAACTACAAATACATCAAACTAAGATGTTTTAGAGTTATCCATTAAGGGGATATGCACAGAAAAAAAAATCATCAACATCTTGATTTTTTTTAAACTGGGTTTCTTGCACTTATGGATTTTTTGAGCGTTTTTGAAAAAAATGCTTGTATAAATTATTTTTAAATAAATACACCTTAACCAAAAGCGCATAACTTAATTGTACAGATTATTACAGTATGTTTTCTATTTAATATTAATCAAATATTTGATTTTTATAAAGCGGAAATGTAATTTTACCTATGAATAAAAGTACAATAATTTAAATTTATGTTATAGTATTTTTAGTTATATTCTACCTTTATATTACACAATTTTGTAAGGAGATTAGTTTTTTTTATTTTTCATATTAGTCTAACATGTTAAATGAAAAATGAATTTGTTATACCTTGCTGCTGTATTCCACAAGTAAATCCAGTAAAACCTTCAGGACAGTTGCAAATGAATCCAGCTCCTTGTGAAACACAAGTGCCTCCATTCTGACACGGGTTACTGTTACAAGCATTGGCAGTGCTATTACAGGTTGGCCCTGTATAACCACTGGGACAAGTGCAAGTGAAGACACCTGTTCCTGCAGGCTAGATGTTATACAGCAAATAAATATTGTTGGAGGGAAAAATAACTTTACTTTCCAAGAAAAGCTGCGTTAAAAAACGTTTTTTAATTAACAGAATGTCATAAGTATTATCAGATGCAAGCACAAGTTACTTTATAGTGTTGATCTTCAAAATAATATAGGAAATGCTATGGGTTACAAAATTTCACTAAACACAGCTAAATGTTTAGTAATGTTTAAATTTTCTAAGGCAATTAAGCTCTATACAATAAATTTGATGCTTACAGTACATGTTCCTCCATTAGCACAAGGATTTGAGTTACAGGACCCATACATTGATTGTTGGATGCAACCATTTGGACCCTCTCCATTGCCAATATATCCATTCTGACAAATGCAAAGTCTCCCACTAGCTCCTGTTTTTATAATACTTATTGTTTTTAAACAGTGGGAGTAAGCATTGTTCAATTTATCTATTTTGATAAATTTTTTTTTACTTTTTGATAAACTAAATAAATATATTATATGCCTAAATGACTATTTTTAACTTTAGTTTATGAATTACCTTCAATACAACTTGCAGAATTATGACATCCACCATTATTGTATGAACAATAAGAAGAAGCTGTGCAAATCCTCCCATTTCCTTGATATCCTGAAGGTTTGTTTTGAAATCAATTCATTGTCAGTGAGGGACTATTTTATTAAACTTTCAACAATAAAAATGTCTATATTTCAAGGTGCATATAGATGAAATTACAAAAGTTTGTTTTCAATTTGAATTTGTATAAACAAGAAACATGAACAACAAAAGAGAATTAAAAAATGCTTAGTTGCATGAATGTTATAACAACGATACAGCAAAATAGTAAAACATTTTTCAAAACCAAATACCTACATTAACCGTTGTAAACCATCGTAAACATAAAGGCCTATAAACAAGTTATAGTGTAAATATGTAGGCCTACATCTTTAATTTGGTATTTATAGGCCTATTTTAGTTAACTTATTGATACAAACTATCAGTTTCTAGTAATTTCTGACAAGAAATACTATTTTTCCTTATTTTTTCATGTATGGGCTTATTAGCATGTTCATGACAATTAATCGATCATTAAATTTACAAATATTTTACAAACGGAATAGGAATTTCTATGTTGTGCAAATGTTTTATCAAAGAAGTCAAATATATTTAGGAGGAACTGGGATATTGTGTAACTTATTGTGTAAATATTAAATGCTAAAAGGATATCAGATAAACCAAAATTTAAAATGGAAAAGTAAATACAAAACATTTATAAATTGTGCCACTTTTTAAAACCATAAAATGAATACCTGTTGGGCATCTTCCACAGGTACTTGATCCAATTGTATTTATACATTCTACATAAGGATTTCTTGAGCAGCCACCATTATTACCATCTTGACATTCATCTGTGTCATAACATGAATACCCACTGCCACTGTAACCTGCATGTTCACATTAAAAAGAGATACAGTGCTAGTTAAAATGTTTAAAATTTTATCAGTTACATCTTCACATTGTTTCCAGAGTAATACTATTCACAATACATCAATGCAAAACTTAGACATTGCTTTAAGCTTTGCTCTGTGTACCCAAAAATCAATCAAAGATTCCAGAACCCTTTTAATTGATAAATATGGACCTTTTTATTAGTAATTACAAACTGAAAATAAATTAGTACAAGTAAAGTTCTTCTTTCAGACTTAATGATCCATAAGGTAAATGAAGTAGAGTTCTTATGTCTCTTGACCTTGGCATATGAAGGGATGGTGTGGTCAGCACTATCCCCATCGCCTTTACTTTCCCTAATGTGAGCCAGGTACCCATCTGAGCAAGGTGGACGCAGAGACGTCCTACAGTCACGAGTTGGAACATTCATAAACATAATAACGTGGACTAGGAGATTGCCAATTAAGCCACACTTCTACTGTTTGCCATATATTTAACGGGATGAAATACAGCTCACATCTATCTTTGCGAGCTACATCTGAACTCATGAAAAAAAAAGAACTAACACATTATTACACAGGAATAGAGGTTTAGCATGATAGCAATTTAGTAATAAATTTCTTTTTCTAAAAATTACTTTCTAGACTATTGGTTTAAATTGATAGTTAAAGTTCAACTAGAGGAAAAGAAATAATTTTAATTGTTAGATAATCATCACATTACACTTTCCAGTTCATGCCTAAGACAAATAAGGCAGATGAACGCTGTTTCAATGACAACTGCATTTTATTTTTTGTATGAAAATTAAAGTAAATATTTCGAGCCATGTAAGGAATGAATAAGGCACCGTAGTAAAAGAATCCTTTATAATGTTAAACATATGTAATGGGTGGAATATAAAAAAGCTGTCCCACTAATAAGATATTATAAACAATAAGAGTACCTGCAGGGCATGAACCACACACAAATGAACCAGGAATATTAATGCATTGAACTGGAGGATTGACTGAGCAATGTGTTCCTGTTCGGCATTCATCAATGTCTATGTTACAAGCTGGAGACACTGTTATATTTGATGTCCAACCAGAATCACACAAACATCTATAGCGAGGCTAGGATTCAATTAAAGAGTGACAGAACCAAATGAAAATGTAGTTCTCAATAAATGATAGAATTATGTAGCAAACAAAAAATTTAATTATTTAAAAAATTTGCTAGAATAAAACCCACACCTGTGGGACTGACTACATGCCCATTAACAGGATAGGTTTTAACAATTGTATAAAAAAGTATCTTACTCTAGAAGGATTTTGATTGTTGTCATTTATGCAGACTCCATGATCACACATCTCCCAATGAGAAGCACCATCACATGAATTGTTTGGTGAATTACAATGAATGCCACTCCAACCAGGTCGACACTGGCAGCTTTAGAAAAAAATATCTTTTAAAGTACACCACAAGACATTAACTTAGAAAATATATTACAATCAAGAAAATCATTTCTTTATTTGTGCAGTTAATGCTGTTTGAAATCATCAAGAAAATAGTTAATTAACTTTTATCACGTGTAATAATTAAATCTAAAATATCTAAATTTATGTTATTTTTTTTTAAAGTTTAAAAATGTCACAGAAAAATGTAGGCCTACATTATAAACCACAATCTAGTATAAAGGAATGTACACAACATAAGTATCATCGACTAAACCTGAATGATCCTTGTGTATTAATGCATGTTGCACCATTATGACATCCTAAGTCGGTACCCATGTAGATGCTACATTCATTCACGTCTTCATCACACCTAACACCCTAATAGACAAATGAAATTTTTTTAAAAGACAATTGTAATAACATGAGGCTATAAACATGAGTAGGTCTACTATAAAAGTACACATAGTAGAAGAATAGCTGTAGGCCTATTAGTTAAATAAAGTAGTAGCTACTGTGGCATTTGATTACAGCAAGTTAACTTTAACGTTACGAAGTTTATGACTGAAAAAAATTAAATACAAAGGGTGCTAGATAGTGTTGTCTTTTTCTCCAAACTGAAACCAAAACCAATATCCCTACCTCAACCTCAATTTTAACCGGAAATGAAAAATGTCATTGAAAACTGATTTTTATCCTGAATCTGCATTTTAACCAGACACTAAAATTTTACTTAAAATGAAACACCTAATAACCCCCCCCCCCCCCTTTAATCCTGTTGCAAATGCTTACTCTATATAATACTATATATTGCTATTAGTTTACCTGTATTTGTTTTGTATATCTACATTGACTTCTAAATAGACAATTAAGTTACCTTTAAATTTTTTTTCTCTATTATCAATGAGGTGATTATTATTGTGTAAAGTTTTCAGCTTTTGATTCTTAATTCTATTTTTTATTGAATGAATAATCTAGAAACATTTTCTACTTTTGGCCGCTAATCCTCAATCATGCAGTGTTTCTTTCGGATTTGAAATTTTAGTAGAAAAGTAACGGGTACCGACGGCTAGTATAAATCTATGATCCCTCTTATGAATCTGATACTATACGCCTTATGACAGAGACGTAGCAACCCTTCCAGGCACCCGGCGACAAACTTTCGATTTGCACCTCCCACAAACTTTTTATTTGCACACCCCCCCCCCCCTCAAACTTTCGATTTGTTTTTCCAACCCATTTTGGCGCCCCCCTAAGGTCGGCGCCCGGGGACATATGTCCCACCCCCCGCTACGCCTCTGCCTTATGATATGATAATATGAACTGTTAATTAATTATTATTATTACTATTACTGTACCATTTTATTAAACCCCCCATTTTAAAAAAGGGTTCGGTGAATGAGTGACTCAGACTCAGTGACTGGGAGTAGTCCTGAGACTGACTCGTCGAACTCCAGGGGTTCGACCGAACCCAGATTAGGAATCACTGCGCTAGAGTCTAGATCTAGAATGGAATCTAGATCTACTCTAGATTCTCGATCTAGAAGTAGATTAAGATCTAGATCTAGAAATACTAATTTAAACATTTGTAAGTTTTCTTCTGCTATGATTGATGGCTTAGGCTTAATGGGCAAATTTTTGTAAATTTCCATACTTCAATAATAAATTGTTCCAGATAAATAGATCTAGGACTAGATCTAGATTTACACGTAATTTCAAATTGTAATGTGTTCACTTTATTACTATTCTTATTTATGATTTTATTTAATTTTTGAATACCTAGATTCTAGATTTAGATATGAATCAATTCTTTTTTGCTAACTAGGCCTGTACTATAATGATTTTTTTTAAAGAAATTTTCAAACGGGCATTTTTGCATATGCCTAAATGGAGTTTAAAAAGATGAGCGGCAGGCCAAACTTCCTATTTGACCAACGAATTTTAAAAGTATTTTAATTTTTAGACTAGGCATAACAATCACATTCACATTGGTTCTGCGGTTATAAATCAGACAGGAACAAACCAGTTCTTCAAAAAGTAAAATATAAAATATGACGACATAAGAAGCTCAGGTTTTTTTGCAGATATTTTTCTCCTAGGGCAGGGGTCGGCAACCAATTGAGACGAAAGGGCCAAAAGTTACAATCTACAAAACTGCCAAAATTTCAAAGAGTCACTAACATTTGTATGTGCACTTCGGTAATGGAAAGCATGGAACTATTGCCACGGAGCTGGCAACAGCACAGTTGTGGGGCTGGGCCTAATGCCCAGCGTTTGTCAGCCAGTTTTTTTTCCCCAGGCGTCTTCGGTGGGGAAGGGGGGGGGGGGCAAGACCCCACTTCCCAAAGAAAGTCTTCCCCCCCCCCCCCCCACGAAAGAAATGGAATTTATATAGAAAACATACTTTTAACATCGTCCGCCCCCCCCCCCCACACGGAGAAAAAAGTTTTGAAGAAACACTGTCAGCTGTCCATATACGCTCTACTCCACCTAGTCTCGTTGTTGTTTTTTTTTTGTTTTTTTTTTTTATTATTTAACGTTGTTTTTTTTTTATTTAAAGTATAATATTTTTGAGTTTTGAAAATAAATATAATTATTATGGAACTGGAGAGCCATATCTTGACATCAAAAGAGCCGCATGTGGCTCGCGAGCCGCAGGTTACCGACCCCTGTCCTAGGGGGCACTTGAAGATCAATGAAAATTCCGGCAATCTTAAAATATCAGGGGGGAGGGGGTGGGTGGGGGGGGGGGGGATACTGGCTAAAGTAGGCTATATAATTATTTTCTATATGAGTTTTTAAAATTTCGTTCGGGGTGGATGGGGAGGGGCTTTTACTCGGTAACACGTATAAATACCACCTCTCACTCATTTTCAATGCAAACCTCATCTTCACCCGCATCAGTCTCCCCCTGACGAAAGACGGTAAGTCATGGCTTGTCGGTGAAAAGACATTTTGTGAGTGACGTATAGCTTAGTCATTCACCACAACCATTTTGAGATGTGTCTATAAATGACTTTACTTCCTTAGAGGTTTTGAAGTTATGTAACGCTGTATGACGAGGGGGGTGAGGAGTGGCTAAAAGTATGACGTAATACTTTTGCATTTATTAAATTGTAGCCGTAATTTTATATTAAAAAACGTTTTGTAAATTGTAATACAATTGATCTATATGTATAATCTTGACATTGCTGTGCTAATATATTTTTAAATAGATGACTGTGCTAAAAAATGTAATTTAATGAGATGGGGTAGACTTAAGACAGAGTCACCTTATTTTAGGGGGCGTGGTCTGACGATGTGTATCGATAGGCCCACATTAGTCTCATAGGGTATATTTCCTACATCCAATACGCCCATATGATTAGTAGACGGGCATGTCTATCAACAATCGATCTTCCAGTATTAGGATATCATTATTTTATCTTTTAATGTAACAACAGTACGTCTAGATTTACCTACATTCTTTCTAACACACTTACCTGCCAATTAGTAGGACATCGACACTGAAAGCCATTGAAAGTGTTACTGCAAGTTCCACCATGTTGACAAGGATTGCTTGCACAATAGTTTGTGTTGAGTTGCTAGAAGATTTTTGTTTTAAAAAAGGTTTAATTAGTATAGGCCTAATTATTGATACAGAAATAATACATGTTGAAAAAAATGTATGGTTTATTTGTCTACATTTCAAAATAGAAATGATTACAAAATAGTGTATCGGTTTCTTTATGTAAGAATCATAATACTGCATATTATATCAAGGCCTATAATATGGAAAAACATAAACCTGCATCCATGATTGTATTCGTCTCAGTTAAGTGGAAGAAAAGGTAACTTGTAACAACTTCAGAATAGCTTATATATTTTTTAAACGTACACAATGAATTAATTAACAGGTTTTATTACTCACAGTTTGAAGATTACGAATGATGTTTTCTAAATCTGTTACCTAAATATGTGTAAAATATATAAATTGATCAGACCATTTTTAGTTATAGATGATTTTTTAAATAAATTTTCTTTATACGCTCAAGCTTTCCATCATATTTATCACATGTATTTTTATTTATCCAAGAGAGCAGTTTCCACATTCCCCCCCCCCCCCCAATCACACTCAAGTTTGCGGCTTCTAGAATTTTGAGAAAGTTTAACAAAATGTAAGCATATACTTGCTCAGGTTAAATTTAAATTTAAGATGATACAAACATTGAAAATAATTAAAATTTGAAAAAAATATATATTTTTTAAATACAATATAAAAGAATGTGTGTAGAATAAATGGGTTGTGTTGATTTTCCGTATCAAAAGTTTTTTTTTTTAACAGGTGTATTCATGCATATTTAATACACAAAGGGGTAACATGCACATTTGACGGGAACAAACACTTAGTCCAAAATGTAATTCAAATTTGTCATTCTTGTGTATTAATTTTTAAAAAATGAAACCACTCAAAATAAAAATATCGCTCCTGGAGTTTAAGTGACTGAACTATCGAACCCTAATAAGTGGCGGAACTAGAAATCAAAGGCTCCCCCGCAAAGAAAAATCTAGGGCCCCCCTATATATATATATATATATATATATATATATATATATATATATATATATATGATCTATATCCTAACTGAGTAATTTAGTCTACTTCATTGCAATATATAACCATTCTGAGAGAACAAAACAGAAAAAATTTAGTCCAAACTCCTTGCGACCACAAAAAAAGGTGTTCAACATGCTGGTCAAAAATATATAAAGACGTTAGCTTGATTCGTGAATGGTTTCTCGCGTTATGTTTATTTTTTTCCTTTTTGGCTTTTATAATATCAATTTTGAAAACATTGATTTTTATAGCTATACTATTGTATAGTACGTCTTATTTAAGTAACAATTCAGAGAATCCATTGCTTTTTAATATACATAGTACAAAACTATTTAAATGAGCTTCGTGGGCATCCCTATTTTAAAGAAGGGCAGTAAGTCATGGAAGTAGTGTGAATGTTTACCTACCTTTCAAACTATAGCTCTTGTAGATTTTAAAATATTTTTCTACGCAACAATCTCTGCTATAGTAGACCTGTTTTTTTTTTTTACAAAACCACTTTCAAGATGCATGAAAACATAATTTTTGAAAAAAAAATGCATTGTTTTTTGGTCGGAACTGGGCCCCTAAACGTCCTGGGCCCCCCCGCATTGCGGGGTCTGGCGGTATGGTAGTTCCGCCCCTGACCCTAATCCCTAGCATGATGTTTAGGGTCAATTACTAATTTACCGAGGGGGGAATAACATATTCCAGTGTTTGGTCCCCCTGTCACCTCAGCCACTCCTGGGGAGTATAAATCATATTATTCGGACACGTTCTTTTAATACTGGCCCTGTACCAAGGCAAGAACCTATTATAGTAAATTTATAACAGATTTTGCTAATCTACTCTATCCCATTACTGAACTAACGAAAACCAGAGGTACTGCTGGGTATATGGCCATTAATTGTAGTAGGAAGTGTGATGACACTTTAAGCTATCTAAAAACATGTTTTGTTCAACACCGTAGCTCGTCCACTGCAGTGGCGGAACTAGAAAAAAAGGGCCACCCCGCAAAAAAAATGTTTAGGCCCCCCCATATATATATATATATATATATATATATATATATATATATATATATATATATATATATATATATATATATATATATACAATAACATAGGATACTCGTTGCTGTCCTGTTCGAAATTTGAAAAAAAATCAATTAAATAAATTTTCAACATCATGTCATGTGTGTAAGTGCATTAGCGTGTTTTGTGAAAAACCAGTGTTATTTATTTTTAATAGAAGCCCTCGTAGAAACTTGTCGGTCCAAATAATATAAAACATGAAAGCTTTGTATAAGTAATGGTGTCTCGTGTTATGTTTATTTTTATGTTTTTTTTGTGTAGTTATATTATTGATGTTTTAAATATTATTGATTTAATACATTTCAATATATTTCCTTTTTATACAATATCATTCTTTAGTAATTACTTATAAAAATTTAATAATTAAGAGAAGTAATTGCTTTTTAATTTGTTTAGTACAAATCTATTAAAAGGAGCTTATGATCACCCCTATTTGACTATTTTTTTTTAAAAAAGGGAAATAAGTCATGGTTTGAACATTTGCTTATCTTTGATAAGTTTAATTGTAGGAAAAAGACTCGGCTTTCAAAGTTGTTTAAAAACAAAGGGAAAAAGAAGATACAAGAGCGTGGGGTGGTGTCTCTAGAATAAAGATAATCCAACCGCAGCTACGGTAATTTTTTTACAAAACAACCATCAAGTCAAAAATGAAAGAAAATTTACTTTTTTTTAACTATTTTAAACTATAAAAAAATTTATTATGGTCGGCTCTGGGCCCCTAAATGGCGTGGGCCCCCCCGCATTGCGGGGTCTGGCGGCACTGTAGTTCCGCCCCTGGTCCACTGACGTCCATCTGATGCCAACTTGGTTGGTTCGTATTTCCATACATTTTCGTCCTGTGTCTGTCCATGTGCTTTTCGGAGTACATTTCTCTCCTAGCTAGTTAATAGGTTGCCCCCATGCCTGTCAAGTATCAATGCTCTGTCTTTTTTTTTTCGCGAAATGCAAAATGTTTTGCACGATTTCTAAGCGAATCGACGATTTACTGTAAAGTCTATGTCTATGGAACTGTTTGCTTGCTTTCTATGGGGTATCGTTTTTGTATGGTTTAAATACTGCTACCTTGAAATACCCAAATCAATAGCCATTGTCACTTTCTATCTGTCCATGCATATTCTATAAAATTTATAGTAAAAAAAGACCTAATAAAGTAGGGGAAAGTAGGGCTAAAAGTCACAGGGGCAATTTGACACAAGTGGCCTGCGGCCATATTTTTATTACTCAATTATAAAAGCTCGAAACCATTTCATGAAAGTAATAAAATGTAGTAAACTAGATCTAGTTAAAATCTGTATGCATATTTTTTTTTGCTGTATAAAATTGGATTTTTAAAAATTTGGCATCTGTAGCTACAAGTCAGCAACCCCGTCGTGTGACGTAATTGTTCGTTCAACAACCTCATGGGACTTTAGCCAGGAAAATAAGTCATAAGGTGTTGATGTAGTTATAAAACTAATTGATTACAGTTTAATTAAAGTTTAACGACTATATGTCCTTATTGCACTGTAATACATTTGTAACTCTTAGCCCCATGCCCTTTGTCAACTTGCCACAGAGTCGGCCATGTTAAATTTGAGACTTCCAGAAAAAATTATGATATGATGCTATAAAAAGTATTTAGAATCTATTTTCTTTTTATCAATTTTTACTTCACGTTCTTTTAAAAGTTTGGATTTAAGAATACAGACAGGCATTCCCTGAACATTGCTCTATCTACTAACAACATCCGCTTTGGTTATATAAGACATTGTCAGTAAAAAAGGGAAATAAACATTGAGAAATGTCATGCAAAAGGATTCAATCAAATGCAGCCATCAGGCAAAAGAAATAGCGCAAATACAGTACCCTGTTCTCTAGCTGTCTTATTCTGTTATTTCTACCTCCTCCCGAGTTGTTATTGTTATTCGGCTAAAATACAACAGTATGGTTATATAGTTTTTAATGAATTGTTATATAGCTAGCGTGGATAACAAGCTATAAAATAAATTTATTGTAAAATAATTACTAATTTTTTTCCCTTTCAGATCAGAAGGTCCATGTGACAGATAAAAACAGAGTGAGTATGTTTCTCTTACACCGGCAACAGTAGAAATTACATAGCAGCGCTATGTCCCGACGCCCACCCCCCCCCCCCCCCCAACCTGTGTGAAATCATTTATGAAAGACGCCTTAAATTAACGTTAAGATAAAAGCCTTACCCTCCTCGTGACACTGGCAGTTGCAGCAGTGACCGCGTCAGACTGTGGGATTAGAGTTAGTATCATGGGTTAACAAGACAAAACGGCTTTCTTATTTCGTTTCGCTGCTAGTACAGTTTTATTGGTGCAGTGGAATCACAGGGGGATTGACACCATACATAAAGCTCAGCCATTTGAGCTTCAGAACAGGTTTTTATAAAATATGGGCACAACAATTGGATGATCTAATACACTATTTAAACTTAGCTTATAGAAAAATAGGCGTATATATATATATATATATATATATATATATATATATATATATATATATATATATATATATATATATATATATATATATATATATATATATATATATATACATGCATACCTACATATATACATATATACAATATACATATATATATATATATATATATATATATATATATATATATATATATATATATATATATATATATCACTCGCAGGTAACTGAATTGATTATTGAAATTGCAGATTCTCAAAATTGCGTATTGATTACATTAGGTCTATACTTCATTTTTTATTATAAATTATATGAAGGCTTGATTACAAAAAAAAATTGTTTAAATACTTACAGTACTCTCGAGCTCCGTGACCCTCTGCCTGAGAGCATTCAGGTCAGATCTCAACTCCTCCACAGACGTTGACGTTTGACTGCTCTCCAGGGCTGTTATCCGCTGTCCCACCTTTAAAATTAGCAATGTTTTAAAAACTTGGATCTTGGACGATAACAACAATGCACTATACAAATTTAAGTCAGGAAGGGGCCGCTTTTATTATTTCCCGGGGCGCTTGGACACAGCCAGTCACCACATGATACACTGTCATAACAGCTTGTTTTAAACATAGAAGTAGCCTACAAACTTAAATTTCAATTTCAGTTTGCCAGATACATTTACTCACCCCGATCCATAAAACGTAATCTGTATGCCTCTAATAAGTTTCACTTTAATTTAATCATTATTGTATTTAAATCTAGTTTTATACGTTTTACTCAGAATTTCTTTATGTAAAAAAACATATTGATTTCATCAGTGACATTTTTTTTTGCTTCGAATACATCTATTTTCAGAAATTTTCAAAAGTTTTATTCTATTAATTCAAACTCAGCAACGATCAAACAACATTACCTGTGTCAGGTCGGCGTTTAGCTGGTTGACACG